AATTTCCCCTCCCCCGAGCCGTGGGAGCACACAGGACACCCCAAATGGCCCCCAAAATCCTCATTGCGAGGTGGGGGGGGGGGCATACGGGATACCCCAAACTGCACCCCAAAATCACCACCCCGATTGTGGGGACACACAGGGCACCCCAAAACGTACCTGAAATCATCACCCCGCGCTGCGGGGGCACACAGGGAACCCCAAACTGCGCCCCAAATTGCCCCCCCGAGCTATGGGGGCACACAGGGCACCCCAAACTTCCACCCTGAGCCGTGGGGGCACACAGGGATACCCCAAACTGCACCCCAAAATCACCACCCCGATTGTGGGGACACACAGGGCACCCCAAACTGCGCCCCAAATTGCTTCCCCGGGCTATGGGGGCACACAGGGCACCCCAAATTGCTCCCCCGAGCTATGGGGGCACACAGGGCACCCCAAATTGCCCCCCCCGAGCTATGGGGGCACACAGGGCACCCCAAATTGTCCCCCGGCGCTATAGGGGCACACAGGGCACCCCAAACTGCCCCCCGGCGCTATGGGGGCACACAGGGCACCCCAAATTGCCCCCCGGCGCTATGGGGGCACACAGGGCACCCCAAACTGCCCCCCGGCGCTATGGGGGCACACAGGGCACCCCAGGCTGTGCCCAGGGCTGGCGCCGGAGCCAGACTGCCCCGGGGGGGGCTGTTTGCTGTGGGGCCGGTGCCCCCCCCGAGGGGAAGGCTGGCAATTATGGAAATCCCTTAACCCCTGATTGCCTCCTCCCACCCCATTAGCTGGGCAAACACTTTTAGCAGCGGGGTTCCAGCTCGCCCGTGGCTACAAAAACCCCGCGGGCCGGCCCGGCTGGCACCGCCACCGCCAGCACCATGGTGACATCCCCGGCCGTCCTCTGCCTCGTCGCCTGGCTCCTGCCACCCGCCGCCGGGCACCTCTGGGCATGGATGTTCTCCCTGCCCCAAAACCCGCCCGACGCCGCCGCCCTGGGCAGGAACCCCGGGACGGAGCTGGAGGAGGTGAGGAATGGAGGGGGACAGCCGGGAGAGGGGTCCTGGGGACAGCAGGGGACAGCAGGGGACAGCAGGGGACAGCCAGGGTGGGCACAGAGCTGGGTTTGCAGCCAGGATGGGCACAGAGTTGGGTTTGCAGCCAGGGTGGGCGCAGGGCTGGGTTTGCAGCCAGGGTGGGAGCGGGATGGGCACGGGGGTGGGTGAGGGCAGAATTTACAGCCAGGCTGGGCTCAGAGTGGGCTCAGGAGTACGAGGGTGGTTCGGAGCCAGAATTTGCAGCTGGGTGGGCTCAGGGTGGGCACAGAGCTGGGTTTGTACCCGGAGTGGCAGCAGGGTGGGCACAGAGCTGGGTTTGTAGCCAGGGTGGGAGCGGGATGGGCACGAGAGTGGGTAAGGGCAGAATTTACAGCCAGGCTGGGCTCAGGGTGGTTCGGAGGCAGAATTTGCAGCAGGGTGGGCGCAGAGGGGGCGCGGGGCAGGTGCGGAATTTGCAGCCGGGGTGGGAGCAGGGGACGGCTCTGCAGCGAGTGTCACCCGCGGTGACCCCACAGGGTTCTGTCGGGGACGGGGACACGGCGGCCGTGGGCAACCAGGGGGGGACACGGGGGGGTCCATGTCCAGCCAGGAATGGACAGCGGGGTCCATGGCCAGCCGGGGGTGGACACGGGGTGTCCATGATCAGCCAGGAGTGGACACGGGGGGTCCGTTTGAAGCCAAGGGGGAACACGGGGGGGTTCATCTCCAGCCGGGGGTGGACACGGGGAGTTCTTGTCCAGCCGAGGGTGGACACGGGGATTGATTCCAGCCAGGGGTGGACACGGGGATTGATTCCAGCCAGGGGTGGACATGGGGGGTCCGTTTGAAGCCAGGAGTGGACACGGGGGGGTTCATCTCCATCCGGGAGTCACACGGGGGGGGACTCGGTTTGAAACCAGGAGTGGACACGGGGTGTCCATGTTCAGTCAGGAGTGGACACGGGGTGTCCATCTCCATCCGGGGGGGCACACGGGGTGTCTGTTTGAAGCCAGGAGTGGACACGGGGGGTCTATGTCCATCCAGAGGTCACACATGGGGGTCCATCTCCATCCGGGGGTGTCCATCTCCATCCAGGGGTCACACGGTGGGGTCCATCTCCATCCGGGGGGGGTTCATCTCCATCCGGGGGGGCACACAGGGAGGTCCATCTCTATCCGGGGGTGTCCATCTCCATCCGGGGGGGCACACAGGGGGGTCCATCTCCGTCCGGGGGTGTCCATCTCCATCCAGGGGTCACACGGAGGTGTCCATCTCCATCCAGGGGTGTCCATCTCCATCCGGGGGTGTCCATCTCCATCCGGGGGTCACCCGGTGGGGTCCATCTCCATCCGGGGGTGTCCATCTCCATCCGGGGGGCCCCCGGGGGTGCGGCGCGGGGGCCGCCAGGGGGCGCGGTGGCGGGGGACGGCGCGGGGCGCTCCAGTGGCGCAATCGGTCAGCGCGCGGTACTTATAGGGCGGTACACGAGCGATGCCGAGGTTGTGAGTTCGAGCCTCACCTGGAGCAGGACTTTTGTAGGGGTTCGCGCCCTGTATTGCCCCCGTGCCCGGCCGCCGGGTTTTCTTTTCCCGAGATAAAAATCCTGGAAGCGCTGCGGATGGAGCCCCCCAGGCTGGCAGAGCTCTCGGCCCTACAAAATCACCCCACACCTTGAACAGACGGGGTTTTGCGCCGTTCCTAGCCTGTCTCGGGGTCAGGGATGAGGTGTTACCCCCTCCCTGACGTGCCGTGTCCCCCCCTCCGCAGGTGACCCCGTGCAGCCCCGCCATGCCCTGCGCCCCCGGTCACTTCTGTGACGAGCACTTCGGGCTGTGCCTGCCCACGCGGCCCGAGGGCCACTATTGCCGCCACGACCCGCACTGCGCCCCCGGGCTCGTCTGCATGTTCGGCAAGTGCCAGCAGCCCGCGCCCCCCGGGCAGGACGGTGAGTGGGGGCTGGCATGGGGGGCACACGCTCTGCGAGCCTGGGGGGGATGCGGTACCAAACCAGGGGGTGCTGCGGGTGCCCCTAATGTCGCTTTCTGTGCCACCAGGAGCGCGGTGCCAGCGGGACGAGGAGTGCGGGCCCGGCGGCTGCTGCGCCCGCCAGCACGGGGAGCGGGTGTGCCAGCGGCGCCTGGCACTGGCTCAGAGCTGCCACGTCCCCCCCGGGGGTCTCGCCTTCAGCATCAATCAGGTGTGCCCCTGCCAGGCCGGGCTGGTGTGCCGACCCTCGGTGCCCTCCAGAGAGTGAGTACGGGGCGTGCCGGGCCGGGCGGGGGGCGTGGGGGACACCTGGGCGCAGCCAGGGCTGAGGTGTCACCGATGTCGCCGTGTGTGCTCTGTCCGCAGGAGAGCGTTCGAGTACCGGCCGGAGAAGAGCGAGTGGCGGTGCCGGCAACCCTGAGCGCCCGCCGTGTAATTTATTATCTGTAAATATCGCGACCACAGCGTGTCCCGAGCCGGCCCAGCGCCGATAAACCCATCCCCGGTGGGGAGGGTGGGGGCTGGAGCCCCCCGACCCCCGCGTTGGATCCTCGCCCCTTCCTCTTCCTCAGAGCCGGGCAGGTCCCGGCTCCATCCTCAGTGCGGGGGTCACCGCAGAGCTGAGCTGTGCCCGGTCCAGCCGCGGTGACCGCGGCCCCCCCGTGTCCCCCTGTGTCCCCCCGTGTCCCCTCGCGTCCCCCCAGGCCCCAGCAGGCTCAGGCAGGGGGGGCAGGTCTCACCGAAATGTTTATTACAAAGAACCAAGCGAGCGGGGGAGTCCCCCCGACACACACACACACACACACACACACACACACGCACGCACGCCAACGAGAATAAATAAATAAAATACAATTTTTTGTCGGGTCTTTTAAATTAAAAGTTTGTGGAGTGACATAAATTACGGGACGTCCCTCTGCCCCGCGGGGGGGGGGGCCGGGGAGGCCCCACCGCCCGGGTTTCTGGGGCAGGGGGGGCTCAAAGCACTTGGCAGGCAGTGACACCGAGTCCCCCCCCGAAAAAAAGGGGGAAACTGAGGCACACGTGGGTGGCGGCTTGGCAGCGGCAGAGCTGGGTGCCCCCAAGCCCCCCGACCCGGGCTGGTGGTCTGGGTAAGGCAGTGACCCCGGGGACCCCCAGGAACGGGGGTGGGGGGCAAGGGGCTGCCCCAGAAGTGGGACAAGCCCCGTCCCGCGGTGAGGGCTGGACGTGGGGGTGTCCCCAGGCCACCCTGGTGTGGTCACCCCGCAGAGCTGGGGGGGGCACAGGGGACGCCCCGGGGCGGGCACAGGACAAGGCAATGCCCCGGGGTGCGGGGACGGACAGAGGCTCACAGACAGACGGACAGACGGACACGGCTGGACAGGGCGAGCGTGGTGGGACGGGAAGGCGGGGGGGGCTGGGGAAGGGGGGGGCCAGAGCCTGGCAGTGCCAGGACAGCGGGACCCCCCCCCAGGCAGGCCAGGGCTGGGCAGCTGTTAGCACAGGTTAGACCCCCAAAACTGGCTCAGATTCACCCCCCACCCCCCAATTCAGGCAGAGCCCCTCCAAGGCAAACACATGCAGAGACCGCCCCCCCCTGCCCCCCAGCTCGGGGGGCGCAGCCGGGGAGCCCCCAGAGCCCTGCACACCCACGCATGCACCCCCCGGCAGGGCAGGGGGCTGGGGGCAGTGCCAGGCACGGCCGGGCTGGGGGGCAGCTGGCGGGGACCCCCCCACGGCCACGGCCAGCTCGGGGACCCCGCAGCCGAGAGCACCATGGAGAAGCGGGGGGCAGGGCTGGGGAGGGGGGCACGGCCCCCACCCCGGGGCACGGGGACACGCCGGGTCCCCTTTGGTCACTTGCTGTCCCTGCCGGAGATGCTGGGGGGCGGCGGCAGGGGGAGACCCCCAGGGCACGGCTGGCCGGGCACAAAGGGGGGGCACGAAGGCAACCAGCGGGGCTGGCCCGCACCCCAAAACCAGCGCTGCCCGCACCCCCTCATCCTAACGCATGTAAACGTCCCGGCCCCAGCCCTCTCCATCGCTCTGGCCCAGGGGCTCCTGGCCCTTGGCTCGGCCCCGCAGCCCGGGCTCGGCCCCGTCCCAGGAGCCGGGCGGGGGCTGCGGGCCGGCCCCGGGGGTGCCCGGCGGCTCCTCCTCGACGGGATCCATCTCGATGTCCATGCAGCAGGAATCGCCGGGCTCCGAGTCCCGGCTGCCCGGAGCCTCCGTGTCGAAGGTGTCCTGGCGGGCCAGGCTGCGGGGGCCCGGGCGGGAGGGCGGCGGGGGGACCCTGCCCTGGCCGCGGCCCCCCGAGTCCCCCGGGCCCTGCCGGGGGCGGCCGTGCTCCCCCTCCGGGTGCGGAGCCTGGGTGCGAGAAGCGAGCACACCATGCGGGGATGGACGGGCTGGGGACACGCCGGGGGCTGTTAGTGGGGGTTAGTGGGGGACACACGCTCCTGGCAGCCTCTGGGGGGTGACACGGTGGCAGCGGGGCTGGGAATGGGGAGGGGGAGCAGCACGGGGGAGGGGGGTGGAGCACCAGCAAGTCAGGCTGGCTGGGAGATTTAGCGACACACAACACAGGACACGTGTCCCCTCTCTGTCCCCTCTCTGTCCCCAGCCCCGGGGGGGGCTCAGCACAGTGGGATGGGGCTGTGCCCCCCACCCAACCCACCCAGGACACCCCCAAACTCGCACCCCCACCACGGCTTCTCCAGAGGTGTGGGAATGGGGTCCCGGCAGCCCCAGGAAGGCACAGGGTGGGTCTTGAAGGGAGCAGATCCTGGGGGTTCCCAATCTCCAGGGCAGCTCCAGGAGGAGGCACAGATTCCCAGGAGACCCCAAATGTGGGGCTGGCAGCAATCCCAGGCAGGGAGAGATCCCCAGGATGGCCCCAATCCAGGAACAGGAGCAGCTCCCTGGGGTGACCCCGATCCCAGAACAGTCCCTGCAGTACCCCTGGGGGGGCACAGGTTCCCAAAGGAACAATCCCAGGGCTGGTCCCACTCCTGGGGGGCTCTGCCTCCCCATGGTGACCCCAAACCCATGGGCTGCCCTGATCCCAGGGTCCCCAGGGCGGGTGACCCCACACTTTGGGATCACAGTCCCATGGGGTGACCCTAAACCCAGGGGTGGCCCCAATCCCAGGGTGCAGAGCCTGATCCCAGGACAGGTGACCCCAGGGACGGTCCCACAGTTGTGGGGGGCCACATTCCCCTGAGGTGACCCTGATCCCAGGACAGGTGACCTCAGGGACAATCCCACACCTGGAAAGGGCCACATTCCCCTGAGGTCACCCTGATGCCAGGACCAGGGACAATCCCACACCTGGGGAGGACCGTAGTCCCATGGAGTCACCCTGATCCCAGGTGACCTCAGGGACAACCCCACACCTGTGTGGGTGGCTGTCACTCCCCAGGCTGTCCCCAACCCCAGGGATCTCCCGATGCCTGTGGGCTGTCCCCGCTGTCCCCGCGCCCCGACGTCCCCAAGGTCCCCGATGTCCCCGCCGCCACCTCACAGCGCGTGCTCCTCCAGGGGGGCTCCGGGGGGGCTGGGGGTGGCCTGGCGGCCCCAGAGGTTGAGGTTCCTGCGCAGGGAGGTGAGCACCTGTACCTGGAGGTTGGAGACGGGCGCGGGGCTGGCGGCCAGCGCGGCCGTGGCCATGGTGCGGCTCAGCAGCGGGTTCGGGGGGTTGCTGCTGGGCGGGTGCGTGGCTTTCCAATAGGCCTCCAGGTACTCGGCCAGGTGCTCGCACGCCTCCTCCAGCTGGTTCTCGTCCAGAACGATGTCGAACATCTCCTGCGGGAGGGAGCCGTGCGAGCTGGGGCGGGGCGGGGAGCTGGGGTGGGGCGGGGGACATGGGGTGGGGCGGGGACAATGGGACAGAGCCTATGGGGCAGGGCGGGGACAGTGGGATAGGGAGGGGACAGTGGGAAAGGGAGGGGTACCTGGATGTGAGGCAGAACCTATGGGACAGGGTGGAGCCTTATGGGACAGGGTGGGGAGAATGGGACAGAGCCTATGGGACAGGGCGGGGTACCTGGATGTGGGGCAGAACCTATGGGACAGGGTGGATGGAGCCTTATGGGACAGGGTGGGGAGAACGAGACAGGGAGGGGCAGCTGGATATGAGGTAGAGCCTATGGGACAGGGTGGGGACAATGGGACAGAGCCTATGGGACAGGGCAGGGACAGTGGGATAGGGAGGGGACAGTGGGAAAGGGAGGGGTACCTGGATGTGGGGCAGAGCCTATGGGACAGGGTGGAGCCTTATGGGACAGGGTGGGGAGAATGAGACAGGGAGGGGCAGCTGGATATAGGGTAGGGACAATGGGACAGGGTGGGGACAATGGGAGAGAGCCTGTGGGGCAGGGCGGGGACAGTGGGACAGGGAGGGGACAGTGGGACAGGGAGGGGTACCTGGATGTGGGGCAGAGCCTATGGGACAGGGTGGGGACAGGTGGATATGGGGTGGGAATAATGGGACAGGGTGGATGGAGCCTTATGGGACAGGATGGCGACAATGGGACAGGGAAGGGTACCTGGATATGGGGCAGAACCTGTGGGACAGGGAGGGGACATGGGAAAGGGAAGGGCAGCTGGATATGGGGCAGAGCCTATGGGACAAGGTGGAACCTTATGGGAGAGGGAGGGGACAATGGGACGGGGAGGGGACAATGGGACAGGGCAGGGACAATGGGACGGGGAGGGGACAATGGGACAGGGTGAGGACAATGGGACACAAGGTGGGCAGGTATCGGGCAGGGCAGGGTAGGGCAGGGCAGGGCGGGGTCAGTCTGAGTGGCACCACGGTGACCAGGGCACACTCACAGGTGGGCACTGTGCCAGCTTGTCCGAGGCCACCATCTGCACGTTGAGGTGCTTGGCCTGGGACTTCCCCCTGGACTTCACCAGCCTCTGCAGCACCTGGCAGGAGGGGACAGCACGGGGTGGCCGTGGGGACACTGCCAGGCGTGCCCAGCGTGGCAGGGAGGGATTGGCACTGCCCGGTGTCCCCAGGGAGGGGCTGGCACTGCCCGGTGTCCCCAGGGAGGGGCTGGCAGTGCCCGGTGCCCCCAGGGAGGGATTTGGCACTGCCCGGTGTCCCCAGGGAGGGGCTGACACTGCCCGGTGTCCCCGGGGAGGGGCTGGCAGTGCCCGGTGTCCCCAGGGAGGGATTGGCACTGCCCAGTGTCCCCAGGGAGGGGCTGGCAGTGCCCAGTGTCCCCGGGGAGGGGCTGGCAGTGCCCCCCTGTGCCCACACCCACCTTGGGGGAGGTGATTTTGATGTAGACGATGATGGGGGCCAGCGAGGTCTTGGCCAGCTGCGCAGGGTGGTTGATGGTGTCGGCGTCCAGGGCCACCAACTGCAGCGTCCGGGCCAGCTCGAAAATGCGCTCGGTCTCACTCTGCACCTCAGCTGGGAGGGGACAAGGGACAGTGAGGGAGGGCAGGGACACGTGGGGACAGAGTGGGGACGTGCTGGGTTAAGGTTTGTCCTGACTTAGAGGCGTTTTAAAACTTTTATTTTCAGTCTCGTGTGAAGGGCAGGACAGTAAAGGTGTTGTAAGTCATGTTAGCACATTTAGAAGCTAATTTAATTAGCTGTTCATTAAGTATTTCCTAATATTTAGGAAATTCATGAAGTATTTCCTAATATTGAGGAAATTTATTAACTGTTTCCTAATTTCTTAACAATTTGTTAATAACAATACACTATAAGTGTTTCTTGGCCTATCAGTTTTTGCCACGCTTTGCTGCAAAAGCCTTAAAGGTAATAATTCAGAATTACCCCTTGTGGGTTCTAATATAATGTATCTCTCATTAAAATATATATATATTCTATCTATCTCTAAAGATATATAGAATATAAATACATATATTCATATTTATTCTTATATAAATTCATATAGGTGAATATATATGAATATATATTAATTATATATCTATATATACCTATATATAAAATACCTATATATATCCATATATACCTATATATTAATATATAATTCAATATAGATATATACAATTCAATATAGATATACATTTATATTCAATATAAATACATACAGATATATGTCTACATATTAATATCAATCTATTCATATATTAGATACATATATCTACATATTAATTATAGATAGATATATCTATATAATCTATATATCTACATTGAATATATATATATTCAATATAGATCTATATATAGATAAAACCTATATAGAGATAAAACCTATATATATGTCTATATATATCTATATATTGACATCCATATATCCAGTATATAAATACCTATAAATATATAAAAAATATAAATAAATATGTACATATATATGCATATTTATATATATACTCATAAGATATATATTAATATCTATATATCCAATATATAAAAATATAAATATATATAAATATATATATATAAATATATATAAATATATCTTTATATATATAAATATATATATATACACATCTCTATATATACACACATATCTATATATATACTCAATACAGAGATAGATATATATATATATATTAATATTTCTCTGCAGAATCTAATTTTTTTGCCAGGCCACCTCCCAGGTGCCACAGGATGGGGACAGCAGCAGGACAGGGCCTGTCCTGAGGCTCGGCCACCTTGGTGTCACCACGGGGCCACCGCAGCAGGGAGGTGGCACCAACACAGCCCCCAGCCCAAACCACACACACACACAGAGGGGGTGACCCAGGTGCCACCAAGGTGTCCCCAACGCCCAGGTTGTGTCCCTGAGGCCACCAGGGTGGGGGACAGGGGGGGTCCCTGTACGTACCCAAGACATCTGTATCAGGAGCAGGGGAGGAAGGAGGCAGCGCGGAGGGGAGGAGGAACCCAGAGAAAAGAGAAACGGGAACAGAAAACACAACAGAGATGATGGAGGAGGAGGAGGAGGAAGGGGGAGGAGGAGGAGGAGGAGGAGGAAGGGGGAGGAGGAGGAAGGAGGAGGAGGAGTGAGGAGGAGGATGAGGAGGATGGGGAGGAGGAGGAGTGAGGAGGAAGAGAAGGGGAGGATGAGGAGGAAGAAGAAGGAGGAGGAGGGAGGAGTGATGAGGAGGAAGAGAAGGGGAGGAGGAGGAGGAAGAAGATGAGGAGGAAGGAGGAGTGAGGAGGAGGATGAGGAGGAAGAGGATGATGATGAGAAGGAGAATGCGGAGGAGGAAGAGGATGGGGAGGAGGGAGGAGGATGATGATGATGATGAGGAGGAGGAGGATGCGGAGGAGGAAGAGGATGGGGAGGAGGAGGATGATGATGATGATGATGATGATGATGAGCACAGGGTCAGTCACCCCCACCCCAGGAGTGGGATGAGCCCCCCGGGCTGGGTTGGGGTGATACAGATGGAGGCTTGGGGGGTCCCGTGGGGAGTCTGGGGGCCTGGGGGCTGTTTCAGGGTGTCTGGGGACTGTTTCAGGGTGTCCGGGGGCTGTTTCAGGGTGTCTGGGTGTTTTGGGGTGTCCGAGGTGTTTGTTTTGGGGTGTCTGGGTGTTTTGGGGTGTCCGAGGTGTTTGTTTTGGGGTGTCTGGGTGTTTGTTTTGGGGTGTCTGGGTATTTTGGGGTGTCCGAGGTGTTTTGGGGTCCCCGGGGGGGGGCAGTACCCAGGCTGGAGCGGGTGCTGGAGCGCTCGATGATGGTGTGCTTGCTGGGGTTGTTGAGCACGGAGCGCTTGGCCAGGGAGATGTCGGCTGTGACCCGCGTGATGGAGATCCTGGGGACACAGAGGGGACACCCCGCAGCCACGGTCACCCCACAGCCACCCCTGGGACACCAATGACACCCCACAGCCACCCCTGGGACCTCAGGGTCACCCCACAGCCACCCCTGGGATCCCACTGTTCCCCCACAGCCACCCTCAGGACCTCAGGGTCACCCCACAGCCACCCCTGGGACCCCACAGCCACCCCTGGGACCTCAGTGTCCCCCCACAGCCACCCCTGGGACCTCAGTGTCCCCCCACAGCCACCCCCGGGACACCAGTGTCCCCCCACAGCCACCCCTGGGATCCCAGTGTCACCCCACAGCCACCCCCGGGACCTCAGTGTCACCCCCAGACCCCACTGTCACCCCCCTGCTGTCACCCCACACCCGGCTCCTCTATGGGTTTAGGGGTCCCCTTGTGGATTTAGGGGTTCCACTATGGGCTTAGAGTTCCCCACACGGATTTAGGGGTTCCTTTATGGGATTAGAGGTCCCTCTATGGGTTTAGGGGTTCCTCTATGGATTTAGGGGGCCACACATGGATTTAGGGGTCCCTCTATGGGTTCAGGGGTTCCTCTATGGATTTAGGGGGCCACACATGGATTTAGGGGTCCCTCTATGGGTTCAGGGGTCCCTCTATGGGTTCAGGGGTGGATTTAGGGATCCCCTCAGGGGTTCAGGGTCCCTCTATGGGTTCAGGGGTGGATTTAGGGGTCCCTCTATGGGTTCAGGGGTCCCTCTATGGGTTCAGGGGTGGATTTAGGGGTTCCCTCAGGGGTTCAGGGTCCCTCTATGGATTCAGGGGTCCCTTCAGGGGTCCCTCTATGGGTTCAGGGGTCCCTCTATGGGTTCAGGGGTGGATTTTGGGGTCCCCTCAGGGGTTCAGGGTCCCTCTATGGGTTCAGGGGTGGATTTAGGGATCCCCCCAGGGGTTCAGGGGTCCCTCTAGGGGTTCAGGGGTCCCTTCAGGGGTCCCTCTATGGGTTCAGGGTCCCTCTATGGGTTCAGGGGTGGATTTTGGGGTCCCCTCAGGGGTTCAGGGCTCCCGTGCCCCCCTCACCGGCCATCGAAGCGATGCTTCAGGAAGTCGAACAGCGCCTTCTGCATCATGTCTGTCACCTGGGGAGGGACACAGGGACAGCAGGGACAGGGGGACGATGCAGGCCTGGGGTCCCCCTGAGCCCCCCCGAGCGCCCCCCACCCCCTGCTCACCTCGTAGCCCTTCAGGGAGGGCCCCACGAGGATGATGGGGCGCATGGAGGGCACCACGTCGTACGGGGGCACGTGCTCGGTCTGGGGACACAGCCGGGGGTCACCGGGCCAGGAGGGGACACGGGGCACCCCCGGCCACGGCTCTGGGGTGTTCTGGGGGGCTGCAAGCGGGGGGAGCCTCCCTCCATGCCCCCCCCTCCCTGGCGCTACTCACCGACTTCTGCTTCTGCTTGGCTGCGTCCGGGGGCAGAGACACACAGGCAAAGGCAAAGGCAAAGGCATGCGTGTTATTGGGGACACGGGGGGGACAGCCAGGGACACGTGTGTGACCCTCCAGGGGTGAGCCAGGGCCACATGTGTGACACAGGGACCTGGGTGTGACCCAGGGACCTGGGTGTGACACCCCAGGGGTGACCCAGTGACACCTGTGTGACCTGCAGGGTGACCCAGTGACACCTGTGCGACCCAGGGACCCAGGTGTGACCTTCCAGGGGTGACCCAGGGACACTTTGTGTGACCCAGAAGTGACCCAGGACATGTGGGTGACCCCCTCAAGGGTGACCCAGTGACACCTGTGTGACCCAGGGACCTGGGTGTGACACCCCAGGGGTGACCCAGTGACACATGTGTGACCTCTGGGTTGAGCCAGTGACATCTGTGTGACCTGCAGGGTGACCTAGTGACACCTGTGTGACCCAGGGACACATATGTGATCTCCCAGGGTGACCCAGTAATGTGAGTGTGACCTGGAGGGTGACCTAGTGACACATGTGTGACCCAGAGGTGACCCAGGGACACATGTGTGACACAAAGGGTGACCCAGGGGACACGTGTGACCCTCTGGGGCACCCCAAAGACACACGTGTGACTCGGAATGTGACACATGGGTGACCCATAGGTAAGCCAAGGACACGTGTGTGTGACCTGGAGCTGACCCAGGGGACACTCATGTGACCCAGAGGTGACCGAGGGACACGCGTGTCACTCACAGGGTGCCCAAAGGACACGTGTGTTACCCCAGAGCCACGTGTGTGACCCAAAGGGTGCCCAGGTGACACGTGTGTGACCAGGGACCCTGGGGACAGTGACAGAGCAGCACTGTCCCCTCTGGGGTAGCTCTGGGTGCCAGGGGGGCTCTGCAGGCCTGCTCCCCCCTGCAGACCCCCCCGTCCCGCGGGGTGGTAGCGCCCAAACCCCCCCCAGGTTATGCCCGGTTTGGGGGGGGGAGGAATGGTCCATTCTCAGCGGCGGGGGGGGTGACACACCGGCCGTGCTGGAACACACCATGCGCACACTGCGGGGGGGGCAACCGGGAGGGGGGCACGGGCTGGTCCATTCCATGGACAGGGGGGGATCACAGCCACGGGCTGGTCCATTCCATGGACAGGGGGGATCACAGCCACGGGCTGGTCCATTCCATGGACAAGGGGGGATCACAGCCACGGGCTGGTCCATTCCATGGACAGGGGGGGATCACAGCCACGGGCTGGTCCATTCCATGGACAAGGGGGGATCACAGCCACGGGCTGGTCCATTCCATGGACAGGGGGGGATCACAGCCACGGGCCGGTCTATCCCATTGACAATGGGGGGGGGTCAGCCATGGACTGATCCATCCCACATTGACCCATTCCATGGATGGGGGGGAGGGGATCACGGCCGTGGACTGGTCCATCCCATTGACAACATGGGGGTGTCAGCCATGGACTGATCCATCCCATTGACAACAGGGGGGGGTCAGCCACGGACTGATCCATCCCATGGCCCATAGGGGGGGTCAGCCACGGACTGATCCATCCCACGGCCCATAGGGGGGGGTCAGCCACGGACTGATCCATCCCATGGCCCATAGGGGGGGTCAGCCACGGACTGATCCATCCCATGCCCTATGGGGGGGACACAGCCACGGACTGCTCCATGCCATTGCCAGCAGGAGGAGTCAGCCCCGCTCTGTCCCCGGTGCAGGGCTCATGCCGTGCTGCAGCCCTGGGGCAGTGCACGGCCCCCCAGCCCCGCGGGGTGCCCCCAGCCCCCCAAGGGCAGTGTTAGGGCAGGCAGCGGGTGCAGCAGGCGGGACCCGCGGGCGCCGTTACCTTCCTAAAGAAGGGGATGCGCTTGCTGTGGGCGGGGGGGGTGGTGACACTGCTCACGCTACTCTTAGGGGAGCGCTGCGCCTCCACGGCCTCCTCCTCCTCCTCCTCCTCTAACTCATCGGGCTCAAAGGCAAAGCTGGCCATGTCCAGGCCACCTGGGGGACCGCCGGAGCCGCGGGGACGGCGGGGAGAGAAGAAGAGCGACAATGGCGATGGGAGAAAGCAAAAAATGGAGACGGGGAGGCTGGGGAAGGGGGGGAGAGGAGATGGGGGCACCCTGCCTGCACCCGTGGGGAGCTGGGGAGGGACCCCCCAGGCTGGAGCTGCCGGGGGGGGACCCCCGGGACACTCTTACCGCTGGCGGGGGGCGTGGGGCGGCGCGTCCCTGTCACCGCATCGCCCAGGCTGGAGCTGGAGTTGTCACCCGATTTGCTGCGTGGGAGAAGCACAGAGAGAGCGCTGAGGGCGGCACGGGGAGGGTACAGAGAGAGCTGGGGGGGGGTCGGGGTGAGCCCCACCTCGAGCTCAGGCGGTTCTGCCTCATCTTCTGCTCCTGCAGCAGCCTCATGTTCTCCAGTTTGACGGGGCTGGGGATGAAGCCAACCTCGCAGCCCTCCTTCACCAGCCGCCCGATCCACCAGTCGTTGTTGTATTTCTGCTCCGGGGGAAAAAAAACCCACAAAAACACCTTAAAAACCCCCCCGAGGCCCAGGCCAGCCCCTCCCCAGCTCCCCCCGGGGCTCTCCCACCTCCTTGATGTGCAGGAAGTCCTTGGGCTCGAAGCAGATGGCCATGCCCTGCACGGGCACGTCGTCCCCGGCCGAGGGGTTGTAGCCCACGTTGGTGCGGACGGCGAACGCCACCGGCTTGGTCTGCACGGGGCAAGGAGAGGGCTCGGCAGCTCCCCCCGGCACGAAACGGGGAGATTTCACCCCAAAATGGGGAGATTTCATCCCAAAACGGGGAGATCCCATCCTCTGCCACCCCAAAACGGGGAGATTTCACCCCAAAATGGGAAGATCCCACTCTCTCCCACCCCAAAACAGGGAGATCGCACCCCAGAATGCGGAGATTCCAACTTCTGCCATCCCAAAACAGGGAGATGCCACCCCAAAATGGGGCAGTCCCACCCTCTGCTGCCCCGAAATGCGGAGATGCCACCCTCAGCCACCCCAAAACGGGGAGATCGCACCCCAGAATGGGAAGATTCCAACTTCTGCCATCCCAAAATGGGGAGATTCCACCCCAAAATGGGGAGATCCCACCCCAAAACAAGGAGATGTCACCCTCTGCCACCCCACAACAGGGAGATGCCAGCCCAAAATGGGGAGATCTCATCCTCTGCCACCCCAAAATGGGGAGATTCCAGCCCCTCACTCCACCCTGGCCAGGCAGGTGCAGCTCCCGGTTCCACCCAGTAACCCCCACTGCCTTCCCAGTGCCCCCAGGGGCCAGGACACAGCAGGGCTGGGGGGGCAGGGGGCATCGGGGGGTCCCTGTGCCAGGGCTGGGGGTCCCTGTGCCAGGGCTGGGGGTCCCTGTGCCAGGGCTGGGGCTCCATCCCCGCTGTCCCACCTTGGCTTTCTCCAGCTGGGCCATGGCCTGGCGCTCGGCCTCCCTGCGCAGCGCCTCCCTGTCCTCCTCCAGCGACACATCCGAGTCCGAGGGGCGGCTGGTGTAGGACTCAGCCGAGCCCTGTGTGCCAGGGAAGGGGCTCAGCCCAGCCTGTGCCCCCCAGGACAGCGAGCCCCAGCCCCAGTCCCAGCCCTCTGATGCCTCTGCACGCTCGCACTGTGCTGGTGCACAGCACTGCGGCCACTGGGAGCCACCCTGGTCCTGCTTGGAGCCACCTCGGAAGTACCTTGGTCCTGCCCAGAGCCACCCCAGTGCCACCTGGTACTGCCCAGAGCCACCCCAGTCCTGCCTGGAGCCATCTCAGTGCTGCCCAGAGCCACTCTGGGGCTGCCCGGGGCCACCTTGGAACCACCCTGGTGCTGCCTGGTGCCACCTGGTACAGCCCAGTGCTGCCTAGAGCCACCCTGGTCCTGCCTGGTGCCACCCCAGTGCCAGCTGGTACTGCCTGGTGCTTCCCAGAGCCACCCTGGTCCTGCCTGGTGCTTCCCAGAGCCACCCTGGTGCTGCCCGGTGCCACCCCAGTGCCACCTGGTACTGCCTGGTGCTTCCCAGAGCCACCCTGGTGCTGCCCGGTGCCACCCTGGTCCTGCCTAGAGACACCCCGGAGCTGCCTGGTGCCACCCCAGTGCCACCTGGTACTGCCTGGTGCTGCCCAGAGCCACCCTGGTCCTGCCTGGAGCCACCCGGTGCCACCACCTCGGTACCACCTGGGACTGCCCGGTGCTGCCTGGAGCCACCTTGGAGTCACCCAGTCCTGCCCAGAGCCACCCCAGTGCCACCCTGGTCCTGCTTAGAGCCACCCCGGTGGCACCGCAGTGGCAGGGTCACGGCAGGGGAGGGACACACACACACACACACACACACACACACACACACACAGGGCAGCTGTCGCCACCGCTCTGGCCGGGAACGGGAACGTGACACCGACACCGGCCCCGCTGCCGTCCCGCTGCCCGGGGCCTCTCCAGAACCGGGAGGGGACTCTGGGACCCCCCCAATGTCCCCCCGATGTCCCCAGGTGTGGGACACGACGCTCTGGGGGGACCCAGGGACACCCCCTGTTCCCCCGCAGTCCCACAGGGACACCCCAGGGACGCGGTGGGTGACACATGGGACCCCCCCCCAACCCCACATCCACCCCCGGAACCCCCCCAAACCTGATTTGTCCCTTTGGGGGTCACCACAAATGTGGGGCTCACCCCTCCGCACAGCCCGGGGTGGCGACCCCTCCCCAAAACCCACAGTGGGGACACCCCCGTCCCACGGAGGGGACACTGGGGGGGTCACCCCGCCCCAGAGACCCCCCCAAAACTCGCGGAGGAGCCGGGAGCTGAGGGCAGGGCGGGCAGGGGGGGTCCTCCCCGGGCGGGGGTCGCTCACCGGGACAGCCGGGGGGTCTTTGCCGGGGACCTCCATGGTGGCGGGGCCGGGGGGAGCGGGGCGGGCAGGGCTGGCCAGGGGCGGAGGGGGGGTCAGGTTTCACCCGGGTAAATTTAGCCCGGGCCAGAGGGTGGGGGCTCAAACAGGGGGGGCCCTGCCAAGCCCCAATTTTGGTGACAGGGCTGTGCCCCCCCCTCCCCACAAAATAAAGGGGCAGAGGAGCCCTGGGGGGCTGCGATTTGAGGGGGGGGGGATCACTCTGAAAATAATTGAGGGGAGCGGAGGGTACGGCCAGGCTTGGCTCGGTGCGAACCCCCCCTCAGTTCTGGGGCACAAAGGAGCGCTGGGACCCCCCAGAAACAGCCTGGGACCCCCCAAAACCAGCCAGGACCCCCCCAAAAAGCGGCGGGACCCCCCCCGCACCTGCCGGACGAAGCTGTTGGAGGTGGTGTCCGAGGAGGTGCTGCCGTCCGAGCGCTTGAAGCGGCTCTTGCGCCTGCTGTACTTGCCCTGGGGACAGGGGAGGGGGCGACACGGGAGCGCTGGACCCCCCCAAAAGTGCCCCCAAAACTCGGGGGGCAGCTCCGCACCCCCCCCCCCCCCCCCAGCCCCTGCTGCCAACCCCTTCCACCCCCGCCCTGCAGCTGAACCCCACTCGAGGGGGGCTCGGGAAGGGGATGGGGGTGCCCGGTACTGGGGGGGGGGGGGGGGGGATGCGACCCCAAACTCGCTCAGACCCCACCGTGTTTGGTTTGGGGTCGCAGCCCCCCCAAACTCCAGCCCCGCCCCCCCCAGTTAAACCAGAACCCAAGAGCCCCCCCGGGATGGGGGGGGGGGGGGGGGGGGGTGACACCACCCCCCCCCTCCAGAGCCCGAGACCCCCCCCCAGCGTGGGCACCCACCCCCATGGGACCCCCCCCCTCCTGCTGGGATCTGGGGGTGTCCCAGTGCCCCCCCCGCCCTTTGGGGGGGGGGGTAAAAGGCTGGGGGAGGAGGGGGTGTCACCCCCCCCCCAAAATGTCCCCAAGGGACAGCTGGGCCCAGCTGCCACCCCCGGGGCTGGGAGGGTCCCCATGGTGGGTATTTGTAGGTGCAGGACCCCCCCAATGCCACCACCCCAAAATCTGTCACCCCACCCCAAAATCTGTCACCCCCTCCTCCTCAATTGGAGCTCCCCAAGAGCACAGATGGGGGGGGTCCGTCCCCAGTGCCCCCCACCCCTCTGGGACCACTGAGGGGACAGTCCCTGCTCCCCCCACCCCAAAAGCAGAGGGGACAAACCGAGGGAAGGGGATGGCGGGGGGGGAGCACCCCAAGAGTTTTCCCAATTCCCAAAACTTTCCCTTTGGGCACAACACCCCCCACTCTCCAAAATCCACCCCAAACCTGGCAAATTGAGAGGGGTGGGGGGCGTGGATTTGGGGTCTCCCCCTTTAATTTTGGGGTGCTGGGACCCCATAATCCACGCAGGGATTTAGGGGAAGGGCTGAACCCCCATCTCCTCCCACCCCCAATTCCAGGAGGGCGGAATTCCATGGGACGCCCCCCGCCCCCACCGTGCCCGGGGGGGGTGTGGGCGATGCTGTCACCCCCAAAAAGCCTCGGGGGTGTCACCTGGAGGGCGGCGTTGTCCAAGACGTCCATCTGGATGTCCTGCGTGGAGCTGTAGGGGGTCCGGGCCATGCCGCCTTCCCGCACCATGGAAGCGCCGGGCTCGGCGGGATTTTGGGATTTTTGGGATGGCCGGGTGGGTGGGAAGCGCACACACAGCACACAGAGGAAGATGATGACGATGACGATGAAGCTCAGGCCTGGCCCCCGCGGTGACGGAGGAGGAGGAGGAGGAGGAGGAGGAGGAGGAAGGAAGGAGGGGGGGAGACAGGGATGGGCGGCCGCTCCCGCACCGCCTTCCCGGGGGGATGGGGGATGCGGGAATGCGCCCCCCAACCCCACTGTGGGGGTGCTGGGGGTGCCCCCCAATCTCCGCCCCCCAATCCCGAGCGGGGGTGGAGGGGGTCGGAGCATCCTCGAATTTTGGGGGGAGTTTTGGGGGGTCCAGCGCTCCCCTCTCCCCCATTCCCAGGTGCAAGAGGGCGCCCCCTCCCCACATTGCTGCTCGACGCGCTTTAGAGCTGGGGGGGACCCCAAAAAGAACCGGGGGAGGGGGGACAGAGACCCCAGGCAGGAGCAGCCCCCATCCCCATCCTGAATCCAGCGCTCCCTCGGGACAAGGCTGCCCCAAAAATCCTCATTTTCCCCCCAAAACACCCCCGGGGGAGCACAGGGAGAGCCCCCCACACCCTGCTGGGTGTCCTGGCAGTGTCCCCTGTCCCCCGGGGCGGCACCCTGGGGACAATCCCCCCTCCCTGGGGACAATCCCCCCTCCCCGATCCCCCCCGGCTGTGTCACCTCCCTCCGGCTGTCGGAAAGTTCCCAATTCCTTCTCGCCCACCCCACCAGGAGGGGATTTTCCTGTCCCCATCCCAGGACAGCTGGCAGAGAATTTTCCACCCTCCAGCAGCAGCTGGGGGGGGGCTCCGGGTCACCCCAGGGACCCCAACCCAGACCCCCCATGCCTGGGAAAGCCAATCCTGCTCTCCTGGATGAAAATAAAATCCCTGGGAGGGCTCTGGGGGTGTTTCTGGGGGGGCTCCGGCTCACCCCAGGGACCCCAACCCCGACCCTGCTCTCCTGGATGGAGATGAAATCCCTGGAGGGTCTCTGGGGGTGTTTTTTGGGGGGGCTCTGGGTCACCCCAGGGACCCCAACCCGGACCCCCCATGCCTGGAAAAACCAACTCTGCTCTCCTGGATGAAAATAAAATCCCTGGAGGGGCTCTGGGGGTGTTTTTGGGGGGCTCCGGGTCACCCCAGAGACCCCAACCCCAGGGGAGCCCGTGCCCTGTGCTCCCCTGCATGGAGATGAAATCTCTGGGGATGTTTTTTGGGGGGGCTCCGGGTCACCCCAGGGACCCCAACCCGGACCCTCTATGCCTGGGAAAGCCATCCCTGCTGCCCTGGATGGAGATGAAACCCCTGGGAGGGATTTTGGGGGGCTCCAGGGACCCCAACCCCGACCCTGCTCTCCTGGATGGAGATGAAATCCCTGGAGAGTCTCTGGGGGTGTTTTTGGGGGGGCTCCGGGTCACCCCAGGGACCCCAACCCGGACCCCCCATGCCTGGGAAAGCCAATCCTGCTCTCCTGGATGAAAATAAAATCCCTGGAAGGGCTCTGGGGGTGTTTTTTGGGGGTGCCTTCCAGCCGGGATCGTGCCCGGGGGTAGAGGCGGGCACCATCGCCTGGCACTGCGTGGGGAGATTGGCACAGTCACGGCATCTCCTCCTCCTCCTCCTCCTCACTGCCAGCTCCCCGGGCACCCCCGCTGCTCCCGGGAGGAGCTCCACGAACCTGGAACCACGGAAATTCCCGGGAACCCAAAAAAAGGACGGGAAACCCCCCCCGAGAACGCAGCAGCACCAGCAGCGCCTTTACCCGAAACTCCTCAAATTTGGGCTCAGCTGCTTTTCCTCCTCCTGGAATCCTTGGGAAGCACAAGGTGGCACTTCCAGAGGGTTTGGTGGCACTTCCAGAAGGCTCGGTGTCATTTCCAGAGGGTTTGGTGTCATTTCCAGAGGGCTCGGTGGCACCGCTGTCCCCGGCATTGTCCCATCCCCGTGCGGTGCCAGCAATTCCCGCCCCGGGAAGCTCCGGTTTTGGGGCTGTTTGTTGAAGGAAAAGGATGAGGCAGTTGGGAAACAGCGAGAGGCTGTGTTTATCCCTGTTTTTTCTGGGAAATCGAACCAAAAATCTGGCGGCAGCAGCAGCTCCATATGGCGGCTCTGCCACATCGCCGGGAGGCGGCAGCGGCCCCGACCCGGGGGGGGTTTGGGGGAAATTCAGGTGATTTTGGGGGATAATCAGGTGATTTTGGGGGATAACCAGGTGATTTTGGTGTAATCAGGTGATTTCAGGTGTAATCAGGGGATTTTGGGGGATAATCAGGTAATTTTGGGGGATAACTAGGGCGAATTCAGGGGATAATCAGGTGATTTTGGGGGATAATCAGACGATTTCAGGAGTTCATTGGGTGATTTTGGAGGGTGATCAGGTGATTTTTGGGGTTCACCGTGTGACTTCAGGGGTTCAGCAGGTGATTTTGGGGGTAACCACGTGATTTTGGGGGTTTACCAGTTGATTTTGGGGTATAACTAGGCGAATTCAGGGGGTAACCAGGTGATTTTGGGGATAATCAAGTGATTTTGGGGGGTACCAAGGTGATTTTTGCGGGTAAGCAGGCGAATTCAGGAGGTAATGAGGTGATAACAAGGTGATTTTTGGGGTTCACCGTGTGATTTCAGGGGTTCACCAGTTGATTTCGGGGGGTAACCACGTGATTTCAGAGTTAACCAGTTAATTTTGGGGTATGATGGGGTGATTTCAGGGGTTCACCAGGTGATTTCAGGGGTTCACCAGGTGATTTTGGGGATAATCAGGTGATTTTTTGGGATAACTAGGTGAAATCAGGGGATAACCAGGCGATTTTAGGGGGTAATCAGGTGATTTTTGGGGTTCACCAGGTGATTTTGGGCTCTCAGCACGATCCCAAAGCAGATTCAGGCCTCCCAGTACAGACCAGTTTAGGCACAGGACAGGGCCAGTGCTCCCAGTATGGGCCAGACCGGTGCCTGGACATGTTCAGTTCTGCCAGCAAAGGCTAAGACGAGCCCCGAACCCTCTGCCCTGCACTTCCACGCCGCCAGCGGGGCAGGCACATCCCCTAATCCCATTTTATTCCTATCCCAGTGCTCCCAGTTCATCCCAGTTTGTCCCAGCGCTTCCTCCACGTGCCTCCCACATCCCCACCGCGCATGCGCAGCCCCCGCCCAGCCCTTCCCGCCACGCACGCGCGGGCTGTACCATCCTACTACAGCCGAGGGGGGAGCCAGGCAGGACCCACGCCTCTCCCACGCGTTACGCGTGGGTTTCGGTCCTTTAGATAAGAGACCACGCGTGATTTTATCGCGTTTGTTCCTTTATCGCATTTCGGACTGCGGCGAGGCCGCGGGAATGGGCGCGGGGGGGAGGGTGGGGTGGTACGCGCCGCGCTCAGGGGGCGGGGTCAGCGCTGCCGCTGCGTCTCTCCGGCCCCGGCGCCGCCGCCGCCATGAGGTGGGAGTGGGACCGGGGCCGCTGCTCGGGGAATAACGGGGGTCGGGAGGCACCGGGGAGGGCTGGAGGGGAGTGGGAGAGTGTCCTCAGAACCGGGGCGGCGTTCGGGCAGTGCTGGATGGCGGCCCCGGGTGCTGTGAGGCGGCCGCGGCCTCCTGGGCCTGGCGGGAAGATGGCGGAGGGGCGCCATGGATGCGCTGAGGGGCCGGGGGGGCGTGAGGGGGGTCTGGGGGCGCTGCTGTGGGGCACTGCGGACCTTGGATGCGCCCCTTGGAGCAGCGCGGGGTGTTTGAGGAACTGAGGGGGGTGAGGAGGGGTGTGAGAGGCGGGGGGGAAGAATCCTTGAGCGGGATGAGGGTCCCATGAGGGGCGATGCGGGACCCTGGGGGAGCGTGAGGGTCCCTAAAGGGGGGGGGTCAGGGGTCCCTCAGGGGGCTGTAGGGTCCCTAAAGGGCAGGTCAGGGGTCCCTGGAGGGCTGTAGGGTCCCTAAAGGGTGCAGACCCCCCTGATCCGTGCCCATTTCCCTCCCAGTATGCTCCGGCTCCAGAAGAGGCTGGCCTCCAGCGTCCTGCGCTGCGGGAAGAAGAAGGTGTGGCTTGATCCCAACGAGACCAATGAGATCGCCAATGCCAACTCCCGTACGTGGGGGGATCTGTGGGATCCAGGAGGGTGGGAACAGAGGTTTTGGAGAGCTCAGTAACAGTGGGGTTGGGTTAGGGTTGGGTTAGGTTGGTAAGGTCATCGAGTCTGGGAAAGATCTCCTAAAAGTTCACGATTTGGCTTAGGTGAAATTCAGCAAATTCTTTGCAGGTTAAAGTGGGGATTTTCAGGATTTGAACTCATGAGGTTCTGAGATAATGAGGGAGGGAATTGGGATCGTTGGAGGTTCAGTGGGAGAAACAGGAGAGAAAACAAACGGGGCTGTTGATGGGGGATGATGACAGAGGTCTAGGGAGGAGGAGAAGAACAGGTCTTTGACAGGGGGGAAACAGGGCTCTGAGGAGGGGGAGAACAGGGATTTGAGGAGAGGAAGAACAGGGCTATGAGGGAGGGAACACAGGGCCCTGAGGAGAGGGAAAACATGGATTTTAGGAGGGGAAGAATGGGGTCCTGAGGGGGGATCAGAGCTGTGAGGGAGGGAGGGAACATGGGGCCCTGAGGAAGGGGAAAACAGGGAGGTGTGAGGAGAGGGAGAACAGGGCCCTGAGGGAGGGAACACAGAACTCTTGAGAGAGGGAAGAACAGGGCTTTGAGGAGGGGAACATAGCTCTGAGAGGGGAAGAACAGGGCTCTGAGAGAAGGGAAGTCAGCTCTGTGAGAAGGGGGAGAACAGGGGTGTGAGGAGGGGGAACACAGAGCCCTGAGGAGAGGGAAAACATGGATTTTAGGAGGGGGAGAATGGGGTCCTGAGGGGGGATCAGAGCTGTGAGGGTGGGAACATGGGGCCCTGAGGAGGTGGAGAACAGAGCTCGGAGGGGGGGAAGCGGGGTCCTGAGAGGGGGAGAACAGGGCCCTGAGAGGAGGGAACACAGAACTCGAGAGAGGGAAGAACAGGGCTTTGAGGGAGGGGAAAACAGCTCTGTGAGAAGGGGGAACAGGGCTCTGGGGAGGGGGAGAACAGGAGTGTGAGGAGGGGGAACACAGAGCCCTGAGGTGGGGAGAGCAGGGCTCTGAGGGAGAGGAAACAGCTGTGAGGGGAGCAGGGCTCTGAGGGGAGGGACAAAGGGCTCTGAGGGAGGCACTGCCTCGTCCCTGGTGTTGGGTGCTCTCCACCCCCCCGGGCTGGGGTGGGTGCTGTGCTGGCAGCCCCCAGGAGGTGCTGGGTGCTCCTTTTGCAGGGCAGCAGATCCGGAAGCTGATCAAAGATGGGCTGATCATCCGCAAGCCCGTGACCGTGCACTCCCGCGCCCGCTGCAGGAAGAACACGCTGGCCCGCAGGAAGGGCCGGCACATGGGCATCGGTGAGGGCAGATACACTGCTGGGAGTGCCCAGTCCCCCTGGGAATGGGGAACTGAGTGCCCAATCCCCCTGGGAATGGGGGAATCCACATCAGGGAGTGCCCAATCCCCCTGGGAATGGGGAACTGAGTGCCCAGTCCCCCTGGGAATGGGGGAACTGAGTGCCCAGTCCCCCTGGGAATGGGGGAACTGAGTGCCCAGTCCCCCTGGGAATGGGGGAACTGAGTGCCCAGTCCCCCTGGGAATGGGGGAACTGAGTGCCCAATCCCCCTGGGAATGGGGGAACTGAGTGCCCAATCCCCCTGGGAATGGGGGAACTGAGTGCCCAATCCCCCTGGGAATGGGGGAACTGAGTGCCCAGTCCCCCTGGGAATGGGGGAACTGAGTGCCCAATCCCCCTGGGAATGGGGGAACTGAGTGCCCAATCCCCCTGGGAATGGGGGAACTGAGTGCCCAATCCCCCTGGGAATGGGGGAATCCACATCAGGGACTGCCCAATCCCCCTGGGAATGGGGGAACTGAGTGCCCAGTCCCCCTGGGAATGGGGGAATCCACATCAGGGAGTGCCCAATCCCCCTGGGAATGGGGAATTGAGTGCCCAATCCCTCTGGGAATGGGCGAATCCACATCAGGGAGTGCCCCATGCCCCTGGGAAAGGGGGAGATTGAGTGCTGCATCCCCCTGGGAATGGGGGAATTGATGGGAACAGGGGAATTGAGTTCCCAATCCCCTTGGGAATGGGGAAATCCACATCTGGGAGTGCCCCAACCCCTTGGGAACTGGGAAATTGAGTCCTGCATGCCTCTAGGAATGGGGGAAATGCACATCAGGAGTGCCCCATCCCACTCCCAATAGGGAAATGCCTCATTGGGCAGTGCCCCATCCCCCTGGGAATGGGGGAACTGAGTGCCCAATCCCCCTGGGAATGGGGGAACTGAGTGCCCAATCCCCCTGGGAATGGGGGAATTGAGTGCCCAATCCCCCTGGGAATGGGGGAATTGAGTGCCCAATCCCCTTGGGAATGGGGGAGCTGAGTGCCCAATCCCCTTGGGAATGGGGGAAATTCCCCACCTTCCACAGCTGCTGCTCACTCACCCTTGGAAATCCCCTCCTGGGTTTGGGAATCCCCTCCTGGGTTTGGGAATCCCCTCCTGGGTTTGGGAATCCCCTCCTGGGTTTGGGACACAGGAAGCCCCTGGTTTGTGTCCCTGATTGTTCCTTTGAGGGGAAAGGGAGCATGGAAAGCTTTGGGATGGGTGTGGGGTTGAGCTGGCAGGAGTTTGGGCTCCTCCTGACCCCTGTGCCCCACTCCAGGCAAGAGGAAGGGCACGGCCAACGCCCGCATGCCCGAGAAGGTCACCTGGATGCGGCGCATGCGGATCCTGCGGCGGCTGCTGCGGCGCTACCGCGAGTCCAAGAAGATCGACCGCCACATGTGAGGGCTGGGCTGGGCTGTGCCCCCAGAGTTCACTGCCCTGGGCATCCCCAGCCCTCCCAGTATGGGCCAGACCAGTCCCTGACAGGTCCAGTTCTGCCAGGAAGGGCTGGGATGAGCCCTGAGCCCTTGGCCCTGCCCTTCCCACACAGCCAGCGGGGTGGGGACATCCCCTAATCCCAGTGCTCCCATCCCATCCAAGTCCACCCCAGTGCTCCCATCCCAGTGCTCCCATCCCAGTCCGCCCCAGTGCTCCCATCCCATCCCAGTGCTCCCATCCTGTCCCAGTCCATCCCAGTGCTCCCATCCCATCCCAGTGCTCCCATCCTGTCCCAGCCCATCCCAGTGCTCCCATCCTATCCCAATGCTCCCAGTGCTCCCATCCCAGTCCATCCTAGCGCTCACATCCCAATCCACCCCATCCCAGTCCATCCCAGTGCTCCCATCCCAGTCACCCCAGTGCTCCCATTCCAGTGCATCCCATCCCAGTCCATCCCATTTCATCTCAATGCTTCCATCCCACTCCATCTCAGTGCCTTCCATCCCAGTCCACCCCAGTGCTCTCAGTCCATCCCATCCCAGTTCTCCAGGCAGGTGCTGATGTCCCCACCCCCTGTGCCCCACAGGTACCACAGCCTGTACCTGAAGGTCAAGGGCAACGTGTTCAAGAACAAGCGGATCCTCATGGAGCACATCCACAAGCTGAAGGCCGACAAGGCCCGCAAGAAGCTCCTGGCGTAAGTTGCTGCTGCAGGCAGGAGGGATTGCCAGGGATGATCCCCCCCTGTGGGGCATTCCTGGGGGAATCCATCCCAAACGGGCAGGGCTGGCTGGCAGCAGGGAAATGTGGGCTCTGCTGGGCTTTGGGGTTTCACCGAGATGGGAACTGGGAGGTTCCTGATCAGCTGCTGGAGTGGGTGAATGATTGACCAGGGCAGGGGAGGGATTGCAGAATCCTGCTGTGTCCTTGGGGGGGAAAAGCTGAACCTGAGCACTCTGGGATTCAGCAGAGACACGTGACCCCAAACAGCTGCTCCTTGGATGGAGTGAATGGAAATCCCCGGGATCCAGCGGGGATGGGTGGTGTGGGACAGCAGGGGGATGGGGACAGGGTCAGGGTGGTGGGGAGCTATGGGACAGGGTGGTGTGGGGCTGTTCTGGGTGTTGTGGGGCAGGGGGCAGGGTGGTGTGGGGCTATGGGACAGGGTGGTGTGGGGCTGTTCTGGGTGTTGTGGGGCAGGGGTCATGGTGGTATGGGGCTGTTCTGGGTATTGTGGGAATGTTGTGGGGCTGTTCTGGGTGGTGAGGGACAGCAGGGCCAAAGGAGATAGGGACAGGGGTCAGGACGGTGTGGGGCTGCTCTGGGTATTGTGGGTCCATTCTGGGTGTTGTTCCGGGTGTTGTGGGGCCGTTCCGGGTGTTGTGTTCTGGGTGTTGTTCTGGGTGTTGTGGGGCCGTTCCGGGTGTTGTGGGGCCGTTCCAGGTGTTGTTCCGGGTGTTGTGGGGCCGTTCCGGGTGTTGTGGGGCCGTTCCGGGTTCCTCACGTCCCAACCCCGCAGGGACCAGGCGGAGGCGCGGCGCTCCAAGACCAAGGAGGCGCGGAAGCGCCGCGAGGAGCGGCTGCAGGCCAAGAAGGAGGAGATCATCAAAACCCTGTCCAAGGAGGAGGAGGCCAAGAAGTGACCTGGGGCTGTCCCCTGCTCCCAGCCTGTCCCATCCCCTGGCCTCCAATAAAACATCCCGGACTCTTCCCGCCGAGCCTCCGTGTCTGCAGCAGGGAGGGGTCAGGGAAACGCTGGGGATCCCTGATGGGGCCCTTCCCCACGGCCCCGGGCACTGGGGACCCCCCTGAACCCCCAAAGGCTCAGGGAGGAGCTGAGGGGCTGGAGCTCACCCTAGGGATCCCCCAGACTCCCCCTGCAGCTCCTTGCCAGCTCGATCCCACAGTGGGAGTGGCTGGACAGACAGACAGACAGACAGACACAGCATGGATGGGCTCTGCCCCTCCCCTGGGCCCACCTGGGGGGGTTCAGTGAGCTGAGGAGGGTCCCCCCACCACTGAAATGGAGCTGGGACCCCCCCAGCTCATCACAGTGATGTGTGACACCCCTGTGTGTGTGTGTGTGTGTGTGTGTGACACCCCCAGTGTGTGTGTGTGACACCCCAGTGTGTGTGTGTGACACCCCAGTGTGTGTGTGTGTGTGACACCCCAGTGTGTGTGTGTGTGTGACACCCCCAGTGTGTGTGTGTGACACCCCAGTGTGTGTGTGTGTGTGTGACACCCCCGGGTCATGTCCCAGTGTCACCAAGAGGGGACATTGCACCCATAGACCCCCTCCCCAAATCTGACAACCCCAACCCCAAGTGGGGCACACAGCACCCACCAACCCCCCCACCCTCGGGGCTCTGCAAATGCCATTTTTTTAACCCAAAAAGAGCCAAATCTGGCAGGAATTAAAGGGGTTAGGAGGGGGGTGGTGACAGGACGCACACAGGGGGGTTCTTGGCTGGGACAAAGGGACTGGGGGAGCCCCCTGGTGTCCCCCCCCATTGTATTGACAGCAAACGGAGCCCCTCCCTCCCCACTGTTTACTGTCAACAGCCCGAACTGGTCCCAACTGGGCCAAACTGGGCCCGGCCCCGCTCCCATTCCCCTCCCCGTGCCTATAAAGGTGGGGATGGGGCCGCCCCCCTGTCCCTCGGTGCTGTCACCCTCTGCTCGCGGGGTGTCCCCCCTGTCCCCCACCATGCTCTTCTGGCACGGCCAGCCCGAGCCCTGCTGGTCCAGCCCTGGGGACGTGTTCCCCCTGCCCGCCTCGGGGGCGCTCAGGTACCCCCAAATCCGCTGGGCTCGGGGAAACTGAGGCACAGCCGAGCTCCCACCCTTTCCGGGGGGCGTTTTCCCTCAGGGACCCCCCGGTCCTGCCCTGCCTGAAGCAGGAGGAGCCCAAGGGCGTCTCCTCATGGCAGCCGCCCTTCCGGTACATCCTGTGTGCCCCGACCTCCCCGGCCGTGCGGCGCCACGAGGAGACCCTCACCTACCTGAACCAGGGTGAGTCTGGGGGCACGGGGGGGAGGGACCCCCCACCCCTCCCTCACAATGAGGGCTCAGTCCCCCCTCCCGGCCCCCTCCCCCAGGGCAGCCCTACGAGATCCGCATGATGGGAATGGGAACGGGAACGGCCCGGGGGGACCCGGCCGAGGGGCGCAGGGTGGTCAAGGTGAGCGGGGTGGGGACGTGGGGGGACCCCGGGGAAAAGATCTGGGCTCAAGTCCCGGTTCTGTCCCAGTCCAGCCTCATTGGAGCCCCAGTCCAGCCTCATTGGAGCCCCAGTTCAGCCTCATTGGAGCCCCAGTCCTAACCCAGTCCAGCCCCAGTTCTACCCCACCCCAGCCCAAATTTTGCCACAGTCCAGCCCCATCTCAATCCTATCCCAGTGCAGCCCCAGTCCTGGCTCTGTTGCCCCAGTTCAACTCCAGTCTAGCCCCAGTTTTGCCCCAGTGCAGCCTCCTTTCAGCCCCAGTACAGCTCCACTCCAGCCCCAGTTCAGCCCCGGTTCAGCCCCAGTCCAGTCCTAGCTCTGCCCTGGTCCAGTTCCAGTCCAGCCCCATCTCCTCCCCAGTCCAGTCCTAGCTGTGCCCCGGTTCAACCCCAGTGTAGCCCCAGTTCTGCCCTGGTCCAGCCCCAGTTCTGCCCCAGTCCAAGCCCAGCTGAGCCCCAGTCTGGGGCTGTGCCCCTGCCCAGAGCCTGGTCCGGGTGGTTTTCCACGACCGCCGCCTGCAGTACTCGGAGCAGCAGCAGCTCGAGGGCTGGCGCTGGAGCCGCCCGGGCGACCGAATCCTGGACATCGGTGGGTGCCGGGGCTGGGGAGGGGCCGGGGGGGCTGCAGGGGCCGCGCTGACCCCGCTCCCGCAGACATCCCGCTCTCCGTGGGGATCCTGGAGCCCCAAATCCACCCCACGCTGCTCAACACGGTGGAATTCCTCTGGGACCCCTCCCAACGCACGTCCGTGTTCGTGCAGGTGGGAGCCGGGGCTCGGGGGGGTCCTGGGGGGGTCACAGCGCCCAGTCCTGACCCCGCTGTCCCCCCCCATCCCATCCCATCCCATCCCATCAGGTTCACTGCATCAGCACCGAGTTCACGCTGCGGAAGAACGGGGGGGAGAAGGGGGTCCCATTCCGCATCCAGATCGACACCTTTGGGGTGGGGGGCAAGGCGGACCCCCCCGAGCACCTGCACTCCGCCAGCTGCCTGGTCAAGGTGTTCAAGGTACCAGGGAGGGGGGGAAACCAGTGCTCCCAGTGCCCCCAGTGTTCCCAGTGCCCCCAGTGCCCTCAGTGTTCCCAGTGCCCCCAGTGCTCCCAGTGCCCCCAGTGTTCCCAGTGCTCCCAGTGCCCCCCACTACTGGGAGACCCCGCTCTGGGCTGGGGGGTAGGTGCATGGTGGGGTCCGGGGGTCCAGGGGGGGCCCGGGGCCACCCTCACCCCCTGGCACAGCCCAAGGGGGCCGATAGGAAGCAGAGGACGGAGCGGGAGAAGGTGGAGAAGCAGCCGGCGGCCGAGAGGGAGAAATTCCAGCCGCCCTACGAGAGCACCGTGCTGGCCGAGGTGGGGCCCGGCCCTGGCGCCCCCCGTGGGCCGAGGGTACCCCCGGGACCCTGCACCCATCACCCCCCCCCTCCTCTTCAGTGCCCCCCATGGCCGGACGCGCTGGGTGCCCCCCACAGCCCCCCGGGGCTGCCGTCCCTGCACCCCTTCAAGCTGCTGAGCCCCGAGAGGTGAGCGGGGAACCCCGGACCCCCCATTTCCCCACTGCTGGGGTCTCCCTCTGTGACCCCTGCCCCACAGGGTGTGCCTGTGTCTTTCCCCCTGGGAAAGTCAGGGGTCTGCTAATGAAGGCAGGAGCCTCCCCTGAGATGGAGAATGTAAACCCTCCCCACCCCTCTGAATTGCTGTAAATTTTAAATTAAGGGGCTCTCAGGCAAAAATATGGGAACAGGAAATCACAGTTCTTTAATTGGGAAAAGAAAAAAATGAAAGGATAAAATAAACAATGCAGTACACCAGAACAACACTGCCAGAGTCAGAACCCAGCCTGACACCCTGTGGGTCAGGCTGTTGGCACAGTCCCATTGGAATTGTGGCTCAGCCCTCCTGCAGTGTCAGGGGTGGTTCTGCTGGAGCAGGGATCCTGCAGAGAAGGATGGATTCTGCCTCTGAAGATCCAGTGGAGGAAGAGGCAGCTGCTGTTCCTCTGGGAATCCAGTGGAGAAGCTGTGCTGGTGTCTCCAAACCTCTGGATTATATCCGGGCAGGAATGCTTGGCTCCTCCCTCTGGGCTCCCATCTCCCAATGGGATGCTGTAGTTCTTATCAGCCATGCAGGGACATTCAATAGCTGTTATCAGCAGTGTCCCCTCCCGAGGGAGGAGTGATTGTGGTCACTCAAAGCGAGAGAAAAGGCAAACTGCCCACTTGACAAAGATAATCTGCCATACAGATGGCAATGGAAAACATCTTGCCTGCAATCTTCAACAGCGCGTCCCCCGTGTCCCCCGCCTGCGCTGCCGAGGGCCCCGCGGAGAGTCCTGGCGAGGTGAGGGAGCCCCCAGAGCCTCCCCGGCCCCCCCGGGACGGGCTGGGGTTGTGCCCGCTCGGGTCGTGCCCCGCTGAGGCCCCGCTGAGCCCCCACAGGCGCTGAGCCCCCGCTGAGCCCCCACAGGCGCTGAGCCCCTGCGCTTCCCCGCTGGAGACGCAGCAGTGGCTGCTCCGCCGCCGCTTCTCCTCCTGCGCCCGCGTCTTCGCCAACTTCACCGGTGAGAGCCGGGGCCGGGCCGGGGCTCAGAGCCGGGACCCCCTCCTGCCGCCCCCTGAGCGCCCCCGTCCGCAGGCGCGGATCTGCTGAAGCTCTCGCGCAGGGACCTGATCCAGATCTGCGGAGCCCCGGACGGGATCCGCCTCTGCCACGCCCTGGCGGGCAGGTCAGGCTCCCGCGCCCCCGGTGCCGCTTTCTGGGGACCCCCGGGGGGCTCCGTGGGGTCCGACCCCATCCTGGCCCCCCGCCAGAGCCTCCTGTGCCCCCTCAGGTGCCCGCGGCCCCGGCTGACCCTGTACGTGACACGGGAACCCGGCGGGGCTGAGAGTGCGGAGGGGGCGGGATCAGGTGAGGAGGGGCTCAGGTGTGTGGGGAGGGGCTCAGGTGTGTGAGGAGGGGGCTCAGGTGTGCGGGGAGGGGCTCAGGTGTGTGGGGAGGGGCTCAGGTGTGTGAGGAGGGGCTCAGGTGTGCAGGGAGGGGTCTCAGGTGTGTAAGGAGGGACTCAGGTGTGCGGGGAGGGGCTCAGGTGTGTGGGGAGGGAGCTCAGGTGTGTGAGGAGGGGGCTCAGGTGTGCGGGGAAGGGCTCAGGTGTGCGGGGAGGGGGCTCAGGTGTGTGAGGAGGGGCTCAGGTGTGTGAGGAGGGGCTCAGGTGTGCGGGGAGGGGCTCAGGTGTGCAGCAGCGTGGGGATGGAGGGTGGGCACTCAGCCCCATCCCATCCCACCCCATCCCATGCCCAGGGCTGTACCAGGAGCTGCACCTGCAGCAGCTGACGGTGCCCGAGCTCACCGCGAGGTTGGCGCAGCTGCTGGGGCTGCCCCCGGGGCAGATCCTGCGGCTCTCCCGCCAGGGCCCCGCCGGCATCCACGTCCTCGTCAGCGACGCGGTGAGGACACGGGGACAGCCGGGGAGGGCAGGGAGGCACAGACCCCGCAGCGCCCCCGAGCTGCAGCAGGAGGGTCCCCGAGCCCCCCTGAACCCCCTGAGCCTCCCCCTGTGCCCCGCAGATGATCAGGAACCTCCAGGACGAGACGAGATTCGTGGTGGCGATCGGCAAAGGTACCGCGGTGGCCGCGGCCGGGCAGGGGACATCGGTGGCCCCGACTGAGCCGCGTCCCCTGCCCGCAGCCCCCGGCCCCGAGGGCTTCCAGCTGCTGCTGCGGTAGGAGCCGGCCACGCTGGGAAGGGACCGAGAGAGGAGCCCGGGGCTGGCAGAGCCCCCAGAGCCCGCCCGAGAGGACGGGACCCGTCCTATCCCCCCCCGTGTCCTTGGTGTCCCCGCTTTCCATTAAAGAACGGCGGGAGCGGCCCCGGACGCGGCCTCGTCCTTGCAGCGCCCGCGGGGGTTCGGGGTCCCCGGGGTGGGTTTGGGGTGCGGGGTCGGTCCCTCGGCCCCAGCAGGGGACACCGGGCAGGGCAGGTCCCGTCCCAGCCCTTGCGGACGGAACCGGGGCAGCCCCGGCGGGCAGAGCCCGGTGCCGCCTCCGGCCGGTCGGGAACGGGGCTCTGCAAACAGCGGAGCCTTCCCGGGGCCGGCGGAGCGCGACCGGGACGTCCTTGGGAGCTAATTCCTGGGGCAAAGGACGGGATTGGGATAAACAAAGCGGGAGCAGGGGAGGAAGGGGAGGACCGGGAGGAGCTGGGACAGCCCCGGAGCGGAGCCGCCATCACAGACACGGGGAGGACACGGGGAGGACACGGGGAGGACACAGGGCCCGGGACCCATCGCTGGAGGGGACAAGAGAACGCCCCCGATCCTCCCAACAGCACTGCATGGGGATCCAGAGTGCCACCAGCCCTGTCCCGAGTGTCCCCTCTGTCCCCACCAGGGCCACCTGAGCCAGGCGTGTTTGTAACTTCCTGCCACTGTCACACCCGCAGTGCCAAGCACGGACCTCACCATGGAAAGGAAATTTCCCAGCTCTCTCTGTGCCCCAGCCCAGGGAGGGGATGCAGCAGCCACGGGGAGACCCCCGAGTTTGAAAGTGTCAAAGCCCCCGAGGGAAGGGGACAGGGCTGGGAACGGGGGGGTCACAGCCCCTGGGGACCCCCGGGTGGGCTCAGCTGCACCTTTGGGGACAGAGGGTGAAGCACAAAGAGCCCCGAGGGTGGCACTGCTGGCACAGGGTGACATTGCCAGCCTGGGATAAGGGATGGATTTCCCTCATCCCTTAAAAAATCAGCTCCAGATTTCCATGGGAGGTCAGTCAGGAGGCGATGGGACACTGGGGACACTGCCAGGATGGGTCCTTGCAGGGGCCAGGGGAGAACAAAAGGCTGGGAGGGCACGGACTGAGCTGGGAATCGAGGAGGAAAAGCAGCTTCTCCTTGATTTTCTCCATAATTTTGGCGCCACATCCCCCAAACTGCAGCACAGGAGCTTCTGCCAGGCCTTGGCACAGAGGGAGGGCAGAAACCTTGACCTGGATGCCAGAAAAGAAAGCAAAAAGGAAAAAACACCCCAAAACACCCCCAGGCCCATCAAACACACAGCCCTTCACCAGAAAAAGCCAAAATGGTTTAGGATATTTTCCAGAACACTACAGCCAAGAACCTTGTCACACTGATCCCAATCCACCCTTATCCTGCCAAAAAAACCCCAAATTACCCCAAAACCACGACAGCAGCAGCCAGCCATGAACAATGGAGAGAAAATCAAAGAGAAATACAAAGGGAATTACAGAGATCTGCAAAAAGTGGAACTTGTTGTTCCCACCTGCCCCATCCTCACCGAGTCACAGAACTGGGCTAAAAGGGGCTGCAGGGTCTCCAAGGCCCAGAAAATTCTCTTTTTTTGGTTGCACTGGATCTGCTCAGCCTCACTGGAGGATTTTCTACCCCAGAAGGTCCCAGGCTGTTTCCTGGAGAGGTCCCTTGGTCCCTGCTCCTGCTGGGAGCCCGGGGGCAGCTGGAAGGTGCTGGAAGGTGCTGGAAGGTGCTGGAAGGCAGATCCAGGCTCCAGGAATCTCTGCTGGGAGGTGGGGACACAACCAGGGAGGATTCCAAGGACAGGAACAGCCCAGGGGGTAAAACTGAAGGAGCTGCCCCAGCTGAGGCTGGAGAAGGGGATTGGGCTTGGAAACGGGACGGGATCCTCACCCAGGGCTGGATTGGGCTTGGAAATGGGATGGGATCCTCACCCAGGGCTGGATCTGGCTTGGAAATGGGATGGGATCCTCACCCAGGGCTGGATTGGGCTTGGAAATGGGACGGGATCCTCACCCAGGGCTGGCTCCGTGCTGGAGCTGTCCCAGAGCCCCCACAGAAACCCCAGGATGGAGAAATTCCTCCAAATGCTGGGCACTGAGCCCTCCACAGCCACCAGATCCCACCCAGGAAGATCCCAGGAGCATCCCAGGCTATGGAAAGGAGTCCCTGGATGAGCTCCAAGGTCCTCCCACCCCAAACCCCATCCCTGAGTCCATGCAAACACTCAGAGCTCCCCTCAGGAGCTGCCCCATGCAGGAGGTGGATTTTCCTCCACTCAGTGATTCCCCCAGCAAGACACAGCTTGGAAAATGGTGTTTATTGGTATTTATAAATATAAACATCAGGAAGAGTCCATTTGAAGACGGATAATTGACTTAAAAGGACACTGTCAAGAAGTTTGAGCTACCTTAATGCTGTCACCCTGGTCTGCAAACAGAAAAGAAATTGCTTTGGGTTCTGTGTTCTGGAGTTTTCCCTGGAAAACTCTGCTCTGTTCCAAAGGGATCAGTCAGCCAAAATCCTGCTCTTCGCTCTCCCCTGCCACAGTAGGAACTAAACAAAAGTGTTTTGTTTGTTTTCTTTTATTTTCCCAGAGTTGTGCAAATCCTGTGATTGCTGGGTGACCCCTCGCCCGTCCACTCTGTCACCACCATCTTCTGCCACCCTGAAACCCGGAGAAAGTTCTGGAAATGAAGGCGCCCGAGGAGAGGGGGAGAATCCACAGCGCTAAAGAGGATTTGAATAAATATAAGGGATTAAAAGCCACCTACAGGAGGGCATTGACAGTATCCTTTTAACCACAGCAGCCTGGAGATGCTCCCAGGCTGGGGGAGATGAAGGGGGGCAGCTCCAGGGGCACCTGGGACCCTCCTGCTGGGAACAGCTCATTGTCCTTGGAATTCCTGGTGGGAAAATCCCCCCCTTCCAGCCCCTGAACAGCCCCTCCTGCTGCTGCAGCTGCTCCTTCCCCACCAGGAGATTCCTCAGCAGCCAGGGGAAGCCAAAGCCCTCGGGCCAGGGCAGCCCCGAGCTCCCCGCACGGACAGCGGGAACGACGGACACGGAGCCACGGACCTGCCCTGCCCCTTCACCCCTTGGGATCTGCCCAGCAGTTCCACCCTGGCATTTCAGCACTCTGGGCTCCCCTGGAGCCTGAAACACCCCAAAAAAGCAGCCACTGACCCCCCCCCACCCCTCCTCCTGCCCCAGAGCTGGGCCTGGCACATCCAAAGCCCATCCAGGGCTCCCTGCAGGGCTCCACACTTACCTGGACAGGTGGGGAGGGCAGGAAGGGCCCCCACAGGGAGTGAGGGAGGATCCCAGCCCTGCTCCATCAGGGAATCCTTAATTCTTCATCAGGGCAACAAGCAAAAAGCTCTACTTGGCTTTTCCTTGGGGGAGGATGGAGGGAAAGGACGGGAGGAGGGAACTCTCAGTCCTTGGAACACGGGCTGGGACTTTCTCCCTGTGCTGAGAATTCTACGTTTGTATATCTATTAATTTGTTTGTATACAAATACGTTTGTATATCTATTAATTTGTATATCTGTTATTCCCTGTGTGGAGGATTATATCCCTGTCATTGGGATAAAACCTGGATTTGGGAGAAGTTTGGACACCCAGTGCCTGATCACACAGGCCAGGAGAGCCCAGCCTGGGGTGGGTGCAGCTCCCTGTGCTCCTTTCAGATCTTCCTGACAGTTCATCACAGGCTCAGGCTTCTCCTGGGGAAAAATTCCTTATGGGTTTGCTGGGAAATCTCAACAAATTACTGAATTTGGAAGAAAAATTTGGGAAAAAAAAAGGTTAAAAAAAAAAAAAGGCAGGATTTGGGGAGGGTAAAATATCTGGAATTAGAAATTCCAAGGTCTATCACAACAATCTGGGAAGCCTCTGACACAGGGAAGATGAGCCTTCATGTGAGCATGCTCAGGTGGGAGCAGGGAAGCACAGGGGAATCCTGGATCCCAGGGAAATCTGGGATCCCAGGGAAATTCTGGATCCCAGGGAAATTCTGGATCCCAGGGAAATTCTGGCTCAGCAGCTGCTGTTTCATTCCCTCACTGACAAACGGACATGGAATGTGTTGGGGTTTCCAGGTTTTGCTGGGTTTTTCAGGTTTGTTGGGGTTTTCAAGTTTTGTTTGGGTTTTCAGGTTTTGTTGGGGTTCTCAGGTTTTGTTGGGATTTTCAGGTTTTGTTTGGGTTTTCAGGTTTTGTTTGAGTTTTCAGGTTTTGTTGGGGTTTTCAGGTTTTGTTGGGGTTTTCAAGTTTTGTTTGGGTTTTCAGGTTTTGTTTGAGTTTTCAGATTTTGTTGAGGTTTTCAGGTTTTGTTTGGGTTTTCAGGTTTTGTTGGGGTTCTCAGGTTTTGTTTGGGTTTCCAGGTTTGTTGGGGTTTTTCCTCCTGCACAAGGGGGTTAAATTAAAGCGTGTTCCTCTCCTCTCCCCTCTCCCCACTCCCAAGGATCTCGGTTCCTTTTCCAACCTCACCAGCAGCATCAGTCCCTGCAGGCTGGGAGCCCTCCCCTCCTGGCCAGGGCTATTCCCAGGGATTCCCAGCAGGAATGGTTCAGGATCAGGCCCACCCAGGCCCAGCTGCAGCTCCATCCCCAGTCCCTCATCCCGCCGGGATCACAGGGGGTGTGTGGGTGGCTGCAGGGCAGCCCAGCCCTGCTCACTGGCCCTGGCAAATGACACTGGGGGCGCTTTTCCTCCAAGGTTCTGGAGATCCGGGCAATTCCCAGGCGTGGTTCCAGCCCCAGCTGGCCGGGAGGAGGCTCCAGTGTCATAGGATGATGCAGCATCTGCAGAAGCGCTGTCGGCTGCCGCCCACCGAGGGCGGGGGGGTCACCGGGGCGAAGTAGGCGTGGACTTTGATGTTGGGCAGGTGGGTCTGCAAGGGACGCGCGGCCGTCTCAGGGCTCGGCTCCCGCCCCCGGCAGTTCCCCCCGGTGCTGGTGCTCACAGGGCTCCCAGGATGAGGGATTGATGGCTCCCACAGCTCCTCTGAGCACCAGCAGCAAGCAGGTGATGGGAAATTCGAGCTCCTCCCCGTGGATAAACCCTCCCCATCCCAGCTCCTTCCCACGGATAAACCCCCACAATCCCAGCTCCTCCCCGTGGATAAATCCTCCCCATCCCAGCTCCTCCCCATCCCAGCTCCTTCCCATCCCAGCTCCTTCCCATGGATAAACCTCCACAATCCCAGCTCCTCCCTGTGGATAAACCCTTCCTATCCCAGCTCCTCCTCATGGATAAACCCTCCCCATCCCAGCTCTTCCTTATGGATAAACCCTTCCTATCCCACCTCCTCCCCATCCCAGCTCCTCCCTGTGGATAAACCTCCACAATCCCAGCTCCTCCCCATGAATAAACCCTTCCTATCCCAGCTCCTCCCTGTGGATAAACCCTCCCCATCCCAGCTCCTCCCCATCCCAGCTCCTCCTTATGGATAAACTCTTCCTATCCCAGCTCCTCCCCATGGATAAACCTCCACAATCCCAGCTCCTCCCTATGGATAAACCCTTTCCATCCCAGCTCCTCCTTATGGATAAACCCTTTCCATCCCAGCTCTTCCTTATGGATAAACCCTTCCTATCCCAGCTCCTCCTTATGGATAAACCCTTTCCATCCCAGCTCCTCCCTGTGGATAAACCTTCCCCATTCCAGCTCCTGCCCATGGACAAACCCTTCCTATCCCACCTCCTCCCCATCCCAGCTCCTCCCTGTGGATAAACCCTCTCCATCCCAGCTCCTCCCTGTGGATAAACCCTCTCCATCCCAGCTCCTCCCCATCCCAGCTCCTGCCCATGGCTGAATCCTCCTCATCCCAGCTCCTGCCCATGAATAAACCCCCACAATCTCAGCTCCTCCCTGTGGATAAACCCTCTCCATCCCAGCTCCTTCCCATGGCTGAATCCTCCCCATCCCAGCTCCTCCCCATCCCAGCTCACCCTGAGTCTCTTGATCCCGGCCCGCGTGATCTGCTGGCAGTCGTACAGTTCTATCCTCTCGAGGCTGTGGCAGCTCTTGAGGTGCTCCAGGGAGGCGTCAGTGATCAGGGGGCAGTTGTCCAGCTCGATCACCTCCAGCCGGTCGTGGGCGCAGGCGCCGTTGCCCAGGTGACGAATCCCATCGTCCGTGATCAGCTCGCAGTGGGATAAACTCTGTCCCCAAACAGAAGGGTTAAACTCTGTCCCTAAACACAGGGGATAAACTCTGTCCCCAAACACAGGGGTTAAACTCTGTCCCCAAACAGAAGGGTTAAATTCTGTCCCTAAACAGAGGGGTTAAACTCTATCCTGAGACACAGGGGTTAAACTCTGTCCCCAGACACAGGGGTTAAACTCTGTCCCCAGAAGGGTTAAACTCTGTCCCCAAATACAGGGGTTAAACTCTGTCCTAAGACAGAGGGGCTAAACTCTGTCCCCAAACACAGGGGTTAAACTCTGTCCCCAGACACAGGGGATAAACTCTGTCCCCAAACACAGGGGTTAAACTATGTCCCCAAACAGAAGGGTTAAATTCTGTCCCTAAACAGAGGGGTTAAACTCTATCCTGAGACACAGGGGTTAAACTCTGTCCCCAGACAGAAGGGTTAAACTCTGTCCTGAGACAGAAGGGTTAAACTCTGTCCCCAAACACAGGGGTTAAATTTTGTCCCTAAACAGAGGGGTTAAACTCTATCCTGAGACAGAGGGGTTAAACTCTGTCCCCAGAAGGGTTAAACTCTGTCCCCACACAGAAGGGTTAAACTCTGTCCCCAAACACAGGGGTTAAACTGTCCCCAGAAGGGTTAAACTCTGTCCCCAGAAGGGTTAAACTCTGTCCCCACACACAGGGGTTAAACCCAGCTCCTGACAGCCCCAGCCCAGCCAGAACTCGCAGGGGATATGGGAGGATGGTCAGTGTTTGGTGGGGCTGGGCTGGGCTGTGCCCACTCCCGGGTTCTGGGGGTTTCTGAGCAGGGATGTGCTGGAAAGGGGAACAATTCCAGCTGGAGGGGGAAATTCCTGCCTGGGAGGGTGGGCAGGCCCTGGCACAGGGTGCCCAGAGGAGCTGGGGCTGCCCCTGCATCCCTGAGGTGTTCAAGGCCAGGCTGGGGTAGTGGGAGGTGTCCCATGGGAACAGGATCATCTTTAGGGTCCCTTCCACGGTTCCAGGGGAGTGCAGACCCCCAGACTGGCACAGAAATTCCAGCCCAGCTGAGCTATGCAAGGACCCACCTTTGGCACACCTGAGGCCTCACCCACCATGGGAAGGACCCCAGCCCTGGGGCCAAGGAGCAGCAGGAACACGATGCCCCCCTCCCCTCAGTGTGGATTTTCAGGGGGATTCACCTGGAAAGTCCTCGAGGAGGAAGCAGGGCCTGAGGCAGAGCTGGAGCTGCCTTTCCTGAGGGATGAGTGCACTGCAGAACCCACATCCCCACATCTCCCAGGACAGGATCCCCCATGGCACAGCCCCAGGGCTGACAGAAACCAAATTCCCACAGTTTCAGCCCCAAAGGCTTCCCAGAGGCACTGAACACTCCAGCTCCTGGCTGCCCTGCAGGTTCCTCTCCTACAGACAGACAGACAGACTGACAGCTCCTCCTGTGCAGGCAGATCCCACCTGGAATTCTGCTCCTGGCAGAATCCCCACAACCCTTTTCCTGTGGGGGCCTGGGGTGGGATTCCTGCAAGCAGCGGGGATGGGATAAGAGGTTCCTCAGGGTCAGCTTTGCAGCAGAATTCTTCCAACTGTGAAGTCAGGGAGTGTTTAAAATCCCTTTGTTTGGAGAAAGGAAATGCTGGAAGTGTCCCTTGGGATACTCACCAGGACCTGCAGCCGTGGACAGTGTATGGAAAGCTGGATTAGTGTGCTGTCTGTAATCTGGAAAAGAAGGAAAAGTCATTCAATTTTGGTGCTGGGCACAAGGATTTGGGTTTTTTTTTCTCTTCTACCAAAGCAAAACTGCAGGATTTTCCTTAATCCATGAGATTTCCCCACAGCCTCGCAGGAATCCTCATGGAAATCCCCTCCTGCCCTTGGAGAACTGGGATGCAGAGGCATCACTGGATTGTTTTTAACTTCCCTAAGGGGCTGAGATCCGCTCCCAGATGTGTCCCAAATGTTCCTCTGGAAGGACAAGGAGGGCTCAGATTCCCTCTGAACACCCTACACGTTGCCCAGCTCCTGGTTTTCTTCAGGAAGAAGGAATTCCCTGCAAAGGTTCCCAATCCCAAACTCCCCCAGGAGCTGCCTGGGATGGATTTGTGCCCTGGCCCAGCTTCGCTTCTCCCTTTTTAGGGTCATTCCCAATCCCTTCCTGCCTGGGCTGGTGTCATTCCCTCTTTAAATCCCAAATTTCTGTCCAGACACGGGGTCCAGCTGTTCCCAGGAATCCCAATCCCATTCCCTTTGTCACAACCCTCGGGCTTGGAGGGTTTTTCATGGAATTTGAGTCAATTCCGCCCTTTTCCCTGGAAATGCTTCAGCCCAGTTTGATTTCAATCCCCCAAAATCTTTGCTGTTTCACAATTTTCCCCATGCTTTTCCAAATCAGGGGGAACTCTCCTTATTTTTAGCAAGATAAGATTCTTCTCTGGGATTTTCCCAGAAAAATCTGGGATTTTCTCTCACAAATCCATTATTTGACCCAGGACCTCTCATTATTAAATATTTCTTATTTACAGCAGCGTTCCCATGGAATCCAAACCAAGGATAAAACCTCATTCCCAACATTCTCCTCTCCAAATCCAGCCACTCTTCCCACTCAGGATTCCACACTAAGTTCTGATATGGAGAAAATCTCTTTAATTTTCCACCAATTTTCCACACTGCTGCAAGAGAAACAGCCTGAGGTGGAATTCCTACCTGGACACACTCTTCCAGATCCATTTTTTCAAGCTCATGGCAATTCTAGAATAAAGAGAATTCCAAACACCCATGGTGAGTGTGAAGGCCAGACAGCAAATATAGATATATAAAATTTATAAATAATAGAAATAAATTATGTTTAAATAGAAATAGTACATTAAATATAAATATTATAAATACAAATATGGAAACAATAAATGGAAATGTAAGCACACAATCAAAAATAAAAATAAAAATAAAAAAATAAAAACACATAAATATATACAGTATAAAATATAAATATAAATAAATTTATGAAAATTATAAAATATAAAAATAAAATATAAAATATAAATATGAATTAACCACCACAAACATAGTTTGCTTTAAAAATTAAAGTGTTTCTCCATGAAATAGCACAACTGGAAGGAAAGCTTACAAAGTTTCTGAAGGATAATAAAGGAAATTTCACTCATTTAAGGGGTTTCTTAATCATGGTGAGTAATTGAAGTTAAATTTAGACAAAACAGTAAAGTTTATAACTAAAATATTTAACATTTCCTGTGGTTTGGATGCAAATCCTCCCAGGTGTGCGAGCCAGCACGATGCCAAAGATCCCATAAAACCCAATTTTTGGACCTTAAGCTTCTGCTCAAATTCCAAGTTTTCCCAAACCTCCTGGGGTATTTTTTTTTTAATTTTTTTGCCAGGAAAAGGAAGGAAAAGCAGGAGGGGAAGGAGGAGGAGGAGGAGCAGGGCTCTTACCCTGGCCAGGGTGGTGAAGCCCACGTCGGTCAGCTGGGAGCACCGCGCCACTTCCAGTATTCTGCAGGACACAAGGAAAGAACCATGGGGGAGCCCCCAGAGCCCAGGAGAGGCTGGGAATGACCTCAGAGACCCCCCCAGTGCCACCCCTGCCCAGGGGACACAGGGATGTCTCCATCCCACCCCCTCGTGGAGCTGCTCTGGGGTTTGACACCTTCATGAGAAGGAATTCTGATGTTGGGGTTCTTTCCATGCTGGACACAAATGGAAAGCTCATTTGCCTCAGGAGAAATCCTGCTCCAAGCCAGAAGCTCTGCTATGGAGTTCTGGATGCTGAGAATTTTTAGATTTTCTGTGCTGACAGATTCTGACTGCCAGGAGAACACAGCATTTGACCTGAGGCTGCCCAAATTGATTGATAGCAGTGGGATTGTGGTGCAGACTTGGTTAGAAGTGTGTAACATCACAGGGTGGAAAATCAGAGTTTGGGGTTTTAGAATATAGTAATAAATATGAAGCAAGATGGAGGTTTTAGGATAGAGACAGGTTCTTCTTCTTCTTCTTCTTCATGGGTTTGGGTGGTACTGGACAGGAAAGTCCACAGTGCAGACTTTGAGTGATCAGTTATTGGGTTAAAAGGGAAAATAATTTGGGTATTGTTTCTTAATTGGATAGTTCAGTCTTAAAAGACCTTGTAACAAGAGATTGTTGGCCATTTTGTGCCTTGCTAATGAGAGACTGCAGAACTCACTGCTGTGAGACTGTAACACTGATAATAAACAATGAACACCTGAGTCTGAATGGGAACTATCACCTCAAGGGCCTTCAATCCTCACCCCAACAGAGGTAGGAAAAAGAAGCTGAAAACTGGAATTCCTCCTCTGGAATTTGGGATGGGATTTGTCCTGGTTGAGTTCCTGCACCTCTGGAAAGCTTCACCCCATCAGAAACTTTCTTCATGGATACACACAGACCCTGTGGGAACCACGCTGGGAGCTCTTTTAAACCCCAAAAATTTGGGGCCAACCCAAAAAATCCCAACCACCCTGTTCCAAACACCTGGAAAAAAGCTCAGAATGGGAAAACCTTTGTGTGTGGGGTGGTGAAATGGCTCAGAGACCACGTGGAGGCTCTGCTGAGAGTTCCATGGGGGCAGAGCTGGCAGAACTCACCGGAGGCGTGGGCAGTTCTGTCCCAGGGCGTTGAGGATGGCGTCGGTGATGTTGGAGCAGCCAGAAGCACACAGGGACTGCAGCTTGTGGCAGCCCCTGCAGATGGTGATGAGCCCATCATCTGTGATTTGCTGCCAGGGAAAGCACAGCTCCCTCAATCCAGGTAGGATTTGTCTCTCCCAGTTCCAAATCCCAGCTCTTTTTGGCCCAAAAATTGTTACGGAAATGTTTCGCCCCAAAAATTGTTATGGAGAAGCAGCAGAAAGAGGAGAAACCTTGCTGGATTTGGGAATATCAAGGAAGGGATTTGGAGGGAAATGTTTTGGAGCTGGACCCAGTGAGGAATGGTGGAAGGTGCTGGGAGTCTTGTAGGGCTTTGTAATTCCTGCTTGGGAAGACACAGGGAGTCTGTCCATCCCATCCCTGGACACAGGGAGTCTGTCCATTTGTGTTGCTGGGCACAGGGAGTCTGTCCATCCCTGTCCCTGGACACAGGGAGTCTGTCCATCCCATCCCTGGACACAGGGAGTCTGTCCATCCCTGCCCCTGGACACAAGGAGTCTGTCCATTTGTGTTCCTGGGCACAGGGAGTCTGTCCATCCCCATTCCTGGACACAGGGGGTCTGTCCATCCCTGCCCCTGGATATAGGGAGTCTGTCCATCCCTGCCCCTGGACACAGGGGGTCTGTCCATCCCTGTCCCTGGACACAGGGGGTCTGTCCATCCCACCCCTGGGCACAGGGGGTCTGTCCATTTGTGTCCCTGGACACAGGGAGTCTGTCCATCCCTGCCCCTGGACACAGGGAGTCTGTCCATCCCTGCCCCTGTGCACAGGGAGTCTGTCCATCCCATCCCTGGACACAGGGAGTCTGTCCATCCCATCCCTGGACACAGGGGGTCCATCCATGCCTGTTCCTGAACATGGGGAGTCCATCCAATCCCATCCCTGGACACAGGGAGTCTGTCCATCCCTGTCCCTTGGACATGGGAGTCCATCCAATCCCACCCCTGGACACAGGGGGTGCATCCATGCCTGTCCCTGGGCACAGGGGGTCTGTCCATTTGTGTTCCTGGGCACAGGGAGTCTGTCCATCCCTGTCCCTGGACACAGGGGGTCTGTCCATCCCTATCCCTAAGCACAGGGAGTCTGTCCATCCCTGTCCCTGGACATGGGGATTCCATCCAATCCCACCCCTGGACACAGGGGGTCCATCCATGCCTGTCCCTGTGTCAGACTGTAATGACACAGAGAGCCCACGCCAAAAGTGTGTGTTTATGCCAAAAAAATCTGGTTTTTGGCATAAACACACATTTTTGGCACTGCAGAGCTGGTTGAGGGCCTTTCTGTGCACAGGAAAAGTGTCTTTGTAGGCTCAGACCTGCAGGGGGACCAGAGGAGAGGCCTGGCAGAACCAGCCCAGCCTGATGGGAAGGATTTTTCCAGCTCAGAGGGAAGAGAGAAACACCCCTGGAGGGAATCCTGGGCACTCACCAGGCAGGTCTGCAGGTTCAGGGTCACCAGCTCAGGACAGTGGGCACCAATGAACTTGAGGGCCTCGTCCTCCAGCTGGAAAAGAAACCACAGGGATGGGAACTGGGAGCACTGGGATGGGAACTGGGAGCACTGGGATGGGAGCTGGGAGCACTGGGATCCAGGAATTGAAGCTGGGACAGCAGGGAATGGGGATTTCCTCTGGGAAGGAGGGAAAGGCAGCACAGGAGCAGCAGCACCAGGAGTGTTCCTGCTTTTTACCCCATCAGGAGCAGAGCAGGCAGAGGAAAGGACTGCCAAGAAACCCCCCTGAGCCCAGATGTTCCCATGGATCACAGTGACCTCCTCCAAAGGATCAGTGGGAAAAGAAAAACTGGGATAAAAAGATTCTCCAGCTCCACAAGTGATTTATTCCCTGTCCCACTCACTGGGGCTGTTGAAGAACTTCCAGCCCAGCACCTGATCTCCAGCACTGTGGGGATTTTGGAGAAGGGAAGAACCCAAACCCCTGGATTTCCATGCCCACACCCTGAGGAGCAGCAGGACTGTGACAAGTGGCAAAAGTGACAAATGGCCACCCCAGCTGTGGCCATTGTCACTTTTGCAGCTGTACCTGGGTGCAGCCCTTGAGGGACAGGGCCCGGAGCCCCCCGCAGCCCCGCACCAGCGCCTGGATCCCGTCCTTGGTCACTTGGTCACACCAGGAGATGATGAGCTGTTCCAGCAGCGGGCATCCCTCGCTGGGGACACAGGGACACACATGGAAAGCCTCAGGAGAAATCCTGCTCCGAGCCAGAAGCTCTGCTGTTCCCATTTCTGGGAGCCACAGAGCGGCCCCACAGCCAGCAGGGGACACCGGGCAGAGCCCAGCTCCAGAGGGAATGCTGGGATGGCTGGAGGATCTCAGAGGACTTTTCCAGCCTTAATGGTTCTAAAATTCCATGGACAAATCCCTGCTGCCAGCTCCTACCTGAGTGCTTTCAGGGACAGGTTGGTGATGGAGGTGCAAGAAGCCAAATCCAGGTGCCTGAGTTTGGAGCAGAACTTGCTGAGGCTGGTGCAGGTGCTGGAAGAGACACAGGGGGACAACTCCTGCAATGGATTCATGCCAGGCCACAGAAATCCCATGGGATGGGCAGGCTGGGGTGAGGATGGAGGTGCAAACCCAGCACAGGTGCCCAGAGCAGCTGGGGCTGCCCCTGGGTCCCTGGCAGTGCCAAGGCCAGGCTGGACAGGGCCTGGAGCAGCCTGGGATGGTGGAAGCTGCCCTGCCCTGAAGGGGAGGGAATGGATGGGATTTAAGGTCCCTCCCAACCCAAACCATTCCATGATTCCATGGAAAACCTCCCCCAGCCCCAGGCCTGGCTTTGTGGCAGCCAGGGAAGAGGGAAGAGTTTGACTCACGCGTCCGTGATCTTGGTACAACCATTGAGGTTCAACACTTCGATGTTCCTGCAGTTCTGGGCAAAGGTCCTGGGGTGAGGGAAAGGGAAAACATTGGGAGTTCCAGGTGGTTTGTAACACATTCAGAATAAAGTTTTGCAAAACTGATTCAAGGAGAAAACAGAAAATCAAGAAGGAAATCAAGAAGAAAACCAAGAAAATTGAAAGAATGAAGAAAGAAGAAAGGAATCAAGAAAATCAAGAAGGAAATCAGGATGAAAATCAGGATTAAGATCAAGAAAAGAAACAAGAAAGTAGAAAATCCAGAAGAAAATGTTATTGAGATATAGAAGAAAATTAATTGAGATATTATAAATATGTCACTAAAAACAAATTTAGTGACATATTTATAATATCGCAATTAATTATATTTATTATTTAATTTAGTAATTTATTCTAATAGTGTTTATTTTTATTAATAAAAATGTATACATTTATAGGTATATACTTATATATTTAAATTTAGTGATATATTTCTATTTCTATTAATTAATTATATTTATTAGTTTATTCATGTAGTCTATTTTAACTTACTTATAGTAATTAATATATATCTATTTATATATACTTATATAATATATATACTTATATATAAGTTTATATATTTTATATATAAAAATATATGTATACATATTTATATATACATATATATGTATTTACTTATAGTAATTAATATATTTATATTTTTGATGTACCTATAGTATTTATATTAAATTTAATTAATTTATATTAATTAATATATTTTATATTAATTATATAATATATGAATTTGTAGTAATATTATTATTACATTTATATCAATATATTAATATTTATTATTAAATATATTATTTTATTATCATTTTATTTATATTAATGCTTATATATTAATATATCAATATATTACTTTATTATAGTTTAATTTATATTAATGTTTTTACATTTACATATTTATATCTTTATATAAAAATGTAGTGATATATTTATAAAGTTAATTTTTAATTTTGATTTTAATTTTTTATTTATAATTCAATTTTTTAGATAAACCCCAAGAAATTAAATGAAAAAAAAAAGGCAAATTAAACGATAAAACGATTAATAAAATAATAAAAAAATTAATTAAATGAGAAATTAAGTAAGAAACAAATAATCTCTGTCACTGCTCTCCAGGTTTTGACATCCTGAGTGCCTCAGCTCCAAACTGGGGATAAATTCTCGCCATTTATTCCGAGATAAATGTGGAAATTCGGATTTTTTGGCAGCGGTACCTTAAGGCGTTGTCCCCCACTCCCTGGCAGCCGCGCAGGCTCAGCTTGCGCAGGAATCCCCCACATCTCTTGGAGATGTTCTCCACCACTCGGCCCTGGGGAGGCACAGCAGCCACGTGAGAACCCCCCCAGAGCCCCAGAAGGTTTTGGGGGGGTTGAATTTGTTATTGAAGGGACAATAACAATGAATTTGTTATTGAAGGGAAAATGGGGCTAAGGGGAGAACAATGGGGGCTGAGGGAGGGGAGGGAGAATTATTCAGCTTCTGGAGATGGAGAGACAAGGAGCAATCGCCTGAAGCAAACCAGCCAAAGCATTTTGAGGAATTTCCTCCCTTTTGGAGCTCATCACAGACTCCCCAAGGGAGGTGAGGGAGCTACACCCCAGATTTCCAGGCACAGCCCATGGATAAACTCCAGTTTCTACTCAAAACACAGATGAGCAGAACCAGCCCTCGAGTTCTGCCCCTGCAGGAAAAGGGATTCAAACACTTGTGCTCCAGAGATCCAGAAAATGGTTTTTAATTTCAAATCTGGACCCAAAGACCCCATTACAGCCAGGATTTACCTTTCCCCTGGGACCAAAGGGCAAAACCACTGGAGAATATTTGCACCAGAAACTCAGAACCTTCCCCTGCACTTTGGCTGCTCCTCACAGAGCAGGAGCAGCCCTTGGTCCTTCCAGGACTAACTGGCATTTGGGACCTCTGTGAGATGAGGATTTCCTTCCAGAATCTCTTCTATTCATTTTATTTTATCTCTTTATTCCATTTTCAATTCTATAGTCTATATTAAATTCTATATTAAATTCTATATTCTATTCTATATTCTATTCTATATTCTATTCTATCAAGCCTATAAATTCTGCTTGAATTAGAGGAGCCAAACGTGTTTCTATCAAAAATTTACATGGACTGATGGATTTAACTTTGTTACAGCAGAGCCTGAGGATGCCCAGCAGGAACTTTGAGGTGAGCTGCTATAACAAATTTTGTTTTCAGAAGGGAAGCCTGGGCTCAGGCAAGAACACGGGTTTGATGTGCAGGGACATGGAAACCACCCCAAAAGCACTGAGGGATGGGAAAAGCCTGGTTTGTATTCCCAGCTGAGCTGCTCAGTCCCACCTCCTGCCACTCCACACATCAGGAACCCTGAGAACTCCACTCTAAATAAAACAATTCCATGGTTCTGGGATTTTTAGGGCACGTTATGAGGTGAGGGATTCATTATGAGGACCCCAAATCCCCCATTTCCTTCCCCCAGGCCACTCAGAGCCTGCTGAGGTGACAGGGCCACCTCCTGCTCCTCATCCCCGACTCTCAGCTGCACAAAGGGATTATTTTAACACTTCCCTACAAAATCAGGGCTGGATTTCCCACAAGGTTGGAACCTTTACTCAGCAGCTGTTTGATGCCTCTGTCTCCCACAAATTAAAGCCACACATTTGCCTCCAATGTGAAACATTCCCAATCTCCCTCTTCCAATGTGTTTTAAACAGGGTAAAAAAAATATTCCTGATAAAAGATTTAAGCATTGGGGGTTTCCTCATCCATTTTCCTGATTAAGGCAATTTGAATTTTCAGCCTCCATCCCCACTGCTGCTGCAGAATCCACATCCCACAGGTTCAGCTACAACAGAGCAGCTCCAAAGCTTCATTTTTTTTTTTAGGAACAATTTGAACCTTGTCCTTCCCAAATCATCTTCACTTCAATTTCAGTTTTTGATATTAAAGATACAAATATTTCAGGCCATGATTCAACAGACATTCAGCCCTCATGGTCTGAGATCTGAGTGCCAGGAGAAGTAGCTTAAATTCTTTTCCATACAAGCAGCAGTTTTCCCCCCAAAAAAGTACCTTTTCTACTAATTTCTGTTTTCAGAACAGACAAAAACTGCTTTCCTTTCATTACAACCTTTAAGTCTTGCTAGGGATACAGAATTCTGTCCATTTTCAAAAGCTGAATGGATTGCTTGAGAAACTCCCTCAAGCTGAAGAACTGAAATTAATGATTTCTATCTCCAGGGAAGGTAGAAAGGTTTACACTGGGAGTATTAATCCATTCTAGGCTGTAATTACATTTGAACAAGAAAAAAAATGGGTTTGTATGTCACTTAATTATACCTCAATATCCCTCTGGAAATCAAACAGGTCAATTCGCTGCCAGTTACTGCCATCCAGGGCCAGAACATTCCATGCCTTTATCAGGGGGAAAAAAAATGTGAATGTGTGGTTAATATGAAAATAAAAAAAGGTCAGTGAGGACCTAATCACAGTTTGTTCCTTTGAGAAATAACATTCTGTCCCAGGTGGGGAAGCTACAGGTGATTGCAGCCAGCAGGGAGAACCGAGCAGGCACCAGGAGCTTGGTGCCCTCAAAATTCACAATTCTGAGTCCTCCAGCCAGGGAAGAGGTGCCCTGGCTGCTTCCACTCCCTTGGGAGGTGCAGGAATTTCACATTTCTGGCTGGACTTTCCTTCCCAGCACCTCAGAGGACACCTGGGCACAGGTGAGTCCCCACAGCTGCAGCACCAAAGGGTTTGGGTTTTGTTTAAATCACCAAAATCTCCCGTGGTTCCTGCTCCAAAGGAGAGGCAGGAACTCAGAGTTGGTTGCTGTGTCCTCAGGTGAATTTAAAGTTTCAGTTACATCAGCAAGGTAAACAAGGGGAGCTTGTAAGAGCCAGGAGGCAGCACTGTGCAAAAGCCAGGGGCAAACACAGGGGCATTTTCCATCCAAATCCCACCTGCACCGAGCTCCTCCCCAGCACAGAGCAGCAGTTCTGGGCTGGAGTTAGTGCAGAGTTACAACAGATGACAAAACTCAGCATTAATTGAGTTTTTTGGGGTTTAAATCTCACTGCTGATGTTTGTTTTAAGGTCTGGTTATGGCCAGGAGAAAAGCAGTGGGAAACGCCCCAGTGGCTGCATAATTCCATGGGCAGTGCAGGGAACGTTCCAGAACCTTCCTGCACATCCCTGCAGGAACTGCCTGTGCTGTGCCACGGAACAGGAGCTGGGACAGGCCAGGAGAACACCCTGACATTGGCAAAGGATCCCTGAGAGCCCATTCTGCCAACACAGCTCTGCTGCATTTCAGCTGGGAGCTCCTTCCCTGCACAACCTGTGCTGCTCAGGTGACAACTGCAATGCCCAGACACCACACAGGGGAATTTTTTAATGCAATTAACAATGTTTAAGCTTTTTTTTTTTTTTAATTCCAATGTGCTTAGAGTAATTAAATCAGTGGTGGTTGAGGTTTGGAGCCAGGACTGATGGGTTTGTGCAGGTGCCACCCAGGCAGGATGGTGACAACACTCCAACACCTTCCCTGGATCACCACCCTGCCCTGCTGTGCTGCTTCCCCTGGGAGTCACCAGGAAAAAGAAATAAATCTGAATAAATGTGGCAGCTCCAGAAAAATGAACCTTCCAGCCCAGCTGGAGGAATTCTCCCAAGCAAATAATCCAAGCTGGTTTAATCCAAGAACAACCCCTCACTTTATTTCCATGCTTACTCCAACTACATCCAAGGAGAAAATGAACTTTGACTGTGCAGCATCTCTGTGAATTAAAATTTCCACCAAAACCCACAGGATGCCATTTTGGGCTCATCCCATGCTGGAGATTTCAGCAGGGTGAGCTTTCTGTAAAACCCAGAATGAGGGGAAAGTTCTGGGTGAAACATCAGCCCCCTGCCCTTTGTACCTGGGACACTGGAAAATGCTACTCCAGCTTGGAATTCCCTCTCACTGGTGCTATGGGAATTTTCCAGGACCTCCAGGGGACACTAAATAACCCAGCTGAGTGGCACAAAGCTCCCTGGCCCAATCCCCTGGGCAGGGAGGATTGTCACCCAAACCCAACCCCCTGCTAAAATCCACCAGGAAGGAGGAAGGTTCTTACCCTGGAAACTTGAGCACAACGACACAGAGTGACCACATCCAGGAAAGAGAAAATTCTGGAACAGAAATAAGAAATACTTTATAGGTTATTGATATTTAGAACAAAAAGGGGACGTGGAAAACAAAGGGGGGAGGAAAAAAAAAACAAAAAAAAAGGACTGGGACAGCAAAACTTCTTTGTGATTTGGCTGAAAGCTGAACTGTGAAAGGAAGTGCAGAGGCAGCAGTTCCCAAATGGAAACAAAACACGGCCATGGAGCCACTGGGAAACAGAAACCTCCCACCTTGGAGTGGGTCCTGACCCAGAGCAGGGCACTGACTGCTCACCCCAGTGAGCCTGGCAGGAGCTGAGCCAGGCATGGAGCACCAGCAGGGACTGGGCTGGGCTGACTCTGCACAGGAGGGAACTGAACACTGCACACCTTCAGCACCAGCTCCCAGAAACGGGCACTGCCATCCTCACTACGAGCTCTGGATCAGGGCAGTGCCATCCCTCACTGTGGGCACTGCCATCCCTCATTCCCAGCTCTGGATCAGGGCAGTGCCATCCATCCCTCACTGTGGGCACTGCCATCCTCATTCCCAGCTCTGGATCAGGGCAGTGCCATCCATCCCTCACTGTGGGCACTGCCATCCTCATTCCCAGCTCTGGATCAGGACAGTGCCATCCATCCCTCACTGTGGGCAGTGCCATCCTCATTCCCAGCTCTGGATCAGGGCAGTGCCATCCTCATTCCCAGCTCTGGATCAGGGCAGTGCCATCCATCACTCACTGTGGGCAGTGCCATCCCTCATCACCCACTCCAGACTGATTTCAGTGCCCAGAGCATTCCTGGGTTCCCACAGTGATCCCAAGGAGGATCCCAGCCCTGCTGGGATTGCCCAGCCTGGGGACCAGAAGCTGAGGGTGACCCAAGAGTGGCTGCCAGCACCTGAAAGGGGACAGGAAGGATGGACAGGGGGGAATGGGGTTCAACTGCCACAGGCCAAGGCTGGATGGGATATTGGGAGGAAATTCCTCCCTGAGAGGGTGGGGAGGGCTGGGATGGGTTTCCCAGAGAAGCTGAGGCTGCCCCTGGATCCCTGGAAGCGTCCCAGGGCTTGGAGCCACCTGGGCCAGTGGCAGGGCTGGGAGTGGATGGGCTTTAAGGTCCCTTCCAGCCCAAACCATGCCAGCCAGGGTATTTGCACTTCCACAAGTGGCAGAGCCAGATGTGCTTATCCAGCAGGGACAATGACACCAGGCAGGAGGGACAATGACACCAGGCAGGAGGGACAATGACACTGTGCTTTAATATTTCAATTTAATATTTTTAACTTGAAGGCCACCCAAAAGAGAAGACAAATGCTGAGCACCCTGAGGAGCAGGGATGGAAAAAGCCCTTCAGAAACACCAATATTGGGGGAAAAAGTGTTTCTCTTGGAGGGCTAAAGGTATTTGCACTTCCACAAGTGGCAGAGCCCTGTGCTCAGCTAGGAGGGACAATGACACCAGGCAGGAGGGACAATGACACTGTGCTTTAATATTTCAATTTAATATTTTCAACTTGAAGGCCACCCAAAAGAGAAGGCAAATGTTGAGAATCCTGAGAAGCAGGGATGGAAAAAGCCCTTCAGAAATACCAATATTGAGGGAAAAGGGTGTTCCTGATGGAGGGTAAATGCAGATTATTTATCAGAACATTGATGCTAAAGGTATTTTGCACTTCCACAAGTGGCAGAGCCAGCTGTGCCAGATGTCCAGCAGGGACAATGACACTGAGGCCACTCCTGGTGGCTCCCTGGGCCAGGGCACACCCTGGGGACCCAGCACACGCCCAGGACTCTGGGCTGTTATTGGGACAGAGGAATGACACAGCTGGGACTGCCAGGATTGCCCTGGGATCACATCACAGCCCCAGGCTGGGCATGCAGGAAGCTCCAGCCCATGGAAAGCTCCCAGTGTGCACCAAGACATCAATAATGGATAAAATTCAATGGGATTTCAATGGCATTTGATGGTTTCTGGTTATTCAAACAATCGTGTCCCAAAAGAGACGAGGTCAAGAGGAGGGTGGGAGGACATCAAGGTCTTGTTCCCTTTGGGAACAATTATAAATCTGGAGTTTTTGCAAAGATAATACAAGAGTTCAACCACAATGTGCTTTAATATTTCAATTGAATATTTTTAATTGAAGGCCACCCAAAAGAGAAGGCAAACGTTGTCAGCCACAAGCATCCTGTGAAGCAGGGATGGAAAAAGCCCTTCAGAAACACCAATATTGGGGGGGAAAGTGTTCCTGATGGAGGGTAAATGCAGATTATTTATCAGAACATTGATGCTAAAGGTATTTTGCACTCACACAAGTGGCAGAGCCCTGTGCTCAGCTAGGAGGGACAATGACACCAGGCAGGAGGGACAATGACACTGTGCTTTAATATTTTAATTTAATATTTTCAACTTGAAGGCCACCCAAAAGAGAAGGCAAATGTTGAGAATCCTGAGAAGCAGGGATGGAAAAAGCCCTTCAGAAACACCAATATTGGGGGAAAAGGGTGTTCCTGATGGAGGGTAAATGCAGATTATTCATGAAAACTTTGATGCTAAAGGTATTTTGCACTCCTACAAGGGCAGAGCCAGCTGTGCTCAGCCAGGAGGGACAATGGCACTGTGCTTTAATATTTCAATTTAATATTTTCAACTTGAAGGCCACCCAAAAGAGAAGGCAAATGTTGTCAGCCACAAGCATCCTGAGAAGCAGGGATGGAAAAAAGCCCTTCAGAAACACCAATATTGGGGGAAAAGGGGTGTTCCTGATGCAGGATAAATGCAGATTATTTATCAGAATGTTGACAGCAGCACTCAGCTAAATGAGGATGAACATTCCCTCCTGTGCTCATGCACTTCCCAGGGATACTGATGGAGCCAGGGAGTTAAGGGGTTAAGATCCAAGGGCTTCAAGGCACTTCTGATCTTCCCAAGAGACAAATCTGACAGTGCTGTGCTGGGGAAAAGCTCTGCAGAAGAGCCCAGTGCAGTTGAACACTGTCAGGAATCCCAAATTCTGCATTTCAGAGCACTCCCACCCTCCCTGCCTACAGACAAGGTTCCCCCTGAGCCCAAAGCCATTTCTTGGTGTCCAAGGGTTTATTCAGCACCATGTCCATGCACCACAACACCAGGAAAGGCTGGGAAATAAGAGAAGCTGGGGGAAATTCTTACTTTCAAATTCCTGTCGTAGGAGAAAATAAAACTTCAAATTCTGTGGGTGGCTCACTGTGGAAGTTGTCTCTGTTTCCATTAGAATTCCCTGCTCCATGGGAATCCCAGACTGTTCATGATCACCTCATCCTTTTAGCAGGGCTTTGGGAGGTTTAATCAGGGAGATTTGGGATAAATTCTCCACTTCTGCTCCTCCCTCTCCAGCCTGCCCACAGCAACAGGGATTGCCCCATGCCAGATCCCCACCCCTGGGCCTTCCCCAGCACAGAGATCCCAGCTCTGAGCAGCTCCAGAGCCTTTCCCAGTGCTCCCCCAGCTCCTCCTGCACTTGTCCAAGACCCTGAGTGGATGATTCGGCAGAATCAGGCTGCAAAAAGGATTTTTTCCACAGCAGGCGCTCCTTGCTTGTGGATTTTGATCATTTCAGAACTGGATCCAGCTCCCCACGGACCAGGAAGAGCAGCAGGCACCATGACCCCAGCTGAGAATTCCCCTGCAGGATGGGATTCTCCCTCTCCAAGGAACACTAAAATACCCCAAACCCCACAAATAAGCAGTGACTGGGCTGCAGCAGAAGGTTGATCAGCACTAATTGAATGATTTTCCCCAATTCTGCATTATCAGGCCCAAAGGCACCGTGCTGGGACATTTATTTTTCCACCCAAACAGGATTCCTGGTGAGCCCTTTGACATTTTTTTATTCTTCAGAGTCCACAGTGGAGAAAATAATCCATAAAATTAACTTCATCACCAAACACTGATCACAGATGAAGGCAGACTGAGCTTCCCAAACAGGAATTAAATCTGGAATTGCAGCAGATTAAATTGTCTCACTGCAAAGGGACTCCCCTATGTGCTTGATTTTGTCTGAACAGCCCAGCTCTGCACAATTTGGGTAAAAACCACTCACTTTGAGCAATTTGCAGGTTTCAACCTCTTAATCCACTCAGGGGTTTCTAGGACTCCTCACTTTCCCACTGCTGCTCTAATTAGATTAGGGTCAAGACTCTCCTGAAATCCCTGCCTGCTGCAGGCTCTGAGGTGAGCCAGCTTAGACCTTGGGCCTTCTAAAATTACCAACACCAGTTTGTGCCAGCAAACCCCCCCCCACCATCCCAGTTCAATCCCAGTTCATTCCCAGTTCAGCCCTGCTCCCACCCCCACCATCCCAGTTCATTCCTGCTCCCACCCCCCCACCATCCCAGTTCAATCCCAGTTCAGCCCTGCTCCCACCCCACCATCCCAGTTCAATCCCAGTTCATTCCCAGTTCAGCCCTGCTCCCACCCCCCCACCATCCCAGTTCAATCCCAGTTCATTCCTGCTCCCCCCCCCCACCATCCCAGTTCAATCCCAGTTCATTCCCAGTTCAGCCCTGCTCCCCCCCCCACCATCCCAGTTCAATCCCAGTTCATTCCCAGTTCAGCCCTGCTCCCCCCCCCACCATCCCAGTTCAATCCCAGTTCATTCCCAGTTCATTCCCAGTTCAGCCCTGCTCACCCCCCACCATCCCAGTTCAATCCCAGTTCAGCCCTGCTCCCACCCCCACCATCCCAGTTCAATCCCAGTTCATTCCCAGTTCAGCCCTGCTCCCCCCCCCACCATCCCAGTTCATTCCCAGTTCAGCCCTGCTCCCACCCCCCACCATCCCAGTTCAATCCCAGTTCATTCCCAGTTCAGCCCTGCTCCCCCCCCCCCCACCATCCCAGTTCATTCCCAGTTCAGCCCTGCTCCCCCCCCCCACCATCCCAGTTCAATCCCAGTTCATTCCCAGTTCATTCCTGCTCCCCCCCCCACCATCCCAGTTCAATCCCAGTTCATTCCCAGTTCAGCCCTGCTCCCCCCCACCATCCCAG